CTTTTACCATCGCGGTGTTCACATCGGGTCGCTTTTTCCTACTTTGTCTGCAGCCTGCGCCTTTTTGGCTTTGGCTGGCACATCGTATGAACCCGCGAACCGACGCGCCCTCGGTGACGCAACGTGACGTCATCCCATCTCCCCCATGCACACATTCAGCTCACATACCATTCTTATTAGCTTCTTCCTCGACACCTGTCCCCCAAGGCGCCATTCCAGTTTTCAACGCTTATGCGCCGCCATATTATACACTTGGCGAAAGACAACGACGAGGTAGACGTCGTCGTCAAGGTTCCACCGACACTCCTTTCCCTGAGGCCCACGAGCCTGTCGGCTCAAAAAAAAAAGAAGGGGGGGGGAGAAGGGCCTCCCCACGCCGAAGCTAATTCATTTTATTGCGGGAAACCCAGCGATGAAGATATCGCGATGGATGTGGCGGTGTTGGCGTTTTATGTGGAGGGAGACCTCAGTACCGATTAAACATTTAATTTGTAGCCTACACATGTAACACTTTGACGAAATCGCAACTCTATATAAGACAACTCAACAAGGGCTATACAAATACAATCCAAAGCTACACATAAATCAGATGCCATTCCTACAATTATGAATGCTCTACGATGACGAGGGCCCCACTCTGGATATCGATAATATCGACATCGACATCAAACGCAAAAACACTTCTTCGTCTATGATATACTCGTACGCGCCATACAACTTACTCTTGAGATGAGATGCCGGGACGTTCCACACTCCCTCCGCTCCGTGTCTTGGATAGTTTGCTTCAAGAGTTCAAACGTCGACAGTTGAAAACTGACAACTGGACGCGAGGACGTGACTGCCTACGTCCTACTTCCTGAGCACCCTCAAGAGCGTCTCGATGCCGTCAAGGCCGAAACCGTCTTCAGTGGGGTAACATACAAACATGGGCTCATGCGCGCCATGGAATTTGCTCTGTCCACAACAATAACATCAGCTCCATCATCATATGTGCGCAGAAAGAGGGGCAATTGCAGCAAAAAACGCACGACTCACCCTAAAATCACCCCTCTTGAACAGTCCCGATGACTCAGATACCTTCTTGTACGTCTTGTTTAGCCACGTAAACTTCCAGCCCGACACGTTCTTGACAGGATCGAGCGAGGGCGCTGCACTGATGCTAAACGTCACTTCCACCTTTCCATTCTCGTTCTCGTTCTCGCTGCTACTGCCGTCGAACTGCGTCGCGTCGCTCTCCCTACTATGATTCACATTCGTATTACCATTAGCACCGGGACTGTGGCGGTCGACGCCTTGGGTCGAAGCCCTGCTCTCCTCGTTTATGGCCCGGAGCGCGGAGTGTATGAGCGCTTCGGAGGTGCCTTTGGGTGCCTTGGGGAAGGAGACGGCGTTTTTGATGACGTAGTGGGATTTCACGGGGGTGAGAATGAGGAGACCGACGGGCTTGATGAGCAGGTGAGTGGGTAGGGATGAAAAACGAATGGACGAAACGCACCTTTCCGTCCTGCCTGGCTACCCAATAGCGGCGGTGCTGATAGTCAAGCCATGGAAGGAAGGAAGTCTGTGTCTAGATGAGCAAGTGCCACACAAGCAGGACAGCGGGTACGTACTGAAGCGATCTGAATGCCTGATCTCGACTTCTTCCATGCCTCGACGCCCTTGTCTACCTCGCTCTTATCCTCGTGCGACCAGGTCTCTTTCTGCATCTCCTCCACGATGACATTGTCCTTGTCTGCACGCCTGAGATTCTTCTTGAGGTCTTTCACGACCGATGCCCCACCCTCTTTGCCCTTTGCGTCATCGCTTGTGAGCTCCCAAAGGTGTTCTGGGTCGACGACGTCCTCGCTGATACAGCTAACGGTCGCCCAGCCCATATCAGCGAGCAGTGCTTCTAGGCGAGAGTCGACGCAACACCAGACCGGCTTGAGCTCGATCTGCAGACTCTGCACCCAGGTGAGGAACGCGTCTACGGTGGGTTTGAGTGCCGAGGGGTGAGATACGAGAGGGGAGCCCCAGGCAAAGAGCCAGCCATGCTTGTGTAGATAACCCTGAACTGGGGTAAACTCTGATTGGTGTATGGGGTGGGAGGGAGACCAGAGGGAGTAGCGGTCAGTTTCGAGCCACGCAGTCGAGGTGGATGAGCCGTATTTGGCGATGAGGTCGGGGAGGTCGGGGTGGGTGGCGGGGTGGGAGTCGACGGGGACGATGGGGGAGTTGAAGTTGCTGTGTGGTTCGGACATGGGGGTTTGTGATCGAGTGTGAGCAGAGGTCGTAGATATAGAGCGTGGTGACGTCAGTGGATGTCATAGCTTGCCAAGACATTTTGAAGACGCAGGAGTGTGCGCCACTGTGAGAGTCGTGGCTGCTAACGTTGTCATAAGACAGCAGTGACGACGATGAGAGCGATGACATCGAGTCGACAATCCCACCTTCCATATCGGGAAATACCGACGACGACAGTGTCAATTTGGACGACATACTCCACAGCACAGACTTGATTCAAGAGAGCATGGCGTCTGGTTTGGAGCTGGCATCTGCGCGATAAACGTGCCCCACCAGCCTAATCACTTTTAGCACACATCGAGTTCAGATGTGTTCAACAGAGTACCCGGTGCGTGCTGCACCCTGTTAGGGGAAAGCGCGTTGGTCTGGGACGCTCTCAGAGCTCTACTTATACGAAACCTGAACGTGAACTTGCGTTCGTCGCTCCCACTGGTGGATCTTGGAAGCACGAACCTTGTGACGACTCAACTGCCCCATCAGAACAAGTGCTTCATCTGACCGCAACCGCTACCGCATTTGTCCCCCATCGCCCGCGTAGCACTCCTCATAATAATTCCTCTCTCCCAGCTGATCTGCCCACTCCTGTGCAGTATACGCGAAAACGTTCATCAGCCATGAGAATCACAACTCACTTCCTTGAACTCCAAATAAACGTGAGCTATCTTTATCACCATCGTGGCTCATGCATCATGGCTTCTCAAAGTCCCTAATATTCTCCTTACCTCAACCAGCCTGCCTCACGCCTTGCCATCCCACTCCCACTCCCACAGCCCTACGTCCATCTTGTCCCCCCCACTTGACGTCTACTAGATCGCTCATTGTCTACCCGACGTTCAAGCTGCAGATATAAACGGCGTTAGCACAAGGTCCACATTGCCACGCCTTTCGATCAATCCTACCTTTATCGCATCCCTTGCCATGCACTGCTCCATTCCCTCTATCCCCCGCCCCCTCCAACAACATCGCATCGTCTCCCTCATCTCCCTCGCCATCTTCTTCACCTCCTTCCTCCTCTTCCTCCTCGTCGGTCTCTCCCTCCCCATCATCAAGAGCATCTACATCATCAGAGTCTATGCTGCTTCCCAGGACGAGCCTGTCTCCGATACCGCAACAGAGCTGAGATTTGGAGTGTGGGGTGTATGCGCGATTAGGTGAGTCATTCCGTCCGCACGTCCTCCATGGCTCTCCACCCATTTCAAATCTGGCCATTACACGCCAATTGACCAACTCCCTACTTCAGCACATTCGACGCAGCCACTGAACAAGGCCTCTGCTTCGGTCCAAAGCTCGGCTACACCATCCCCGCCTCCATCCTCTCCCTCATCTCCGTCTCCTCCTCCATCGTCTCCGCAGCCCTCACCGCCCTCCTCACCCTCCTCGTCCTCCACCTCGTCGTCGCCGGCCTCTCCACCCTCATCCTCATCCTCTCCCTCTTCCTCCACTCCCACCCCGTCGCCATCACCGCCCTCATCCTCTCCATCATCGCCGCCCTCCTCTCCAGCGTCGTCTTCGCAGCCGACGTGGCCGTCGTGTTGGTCGTCAAGGACAATGTGGATAGTTTGTTTGCCGGCGCGGCGTTGGATGTCGGGTTTGGGAATGCGGTGTGGATGATTTTGGCGGGGTTGATTCTGACGTGGGTCGCGGTGGTGGTGCTTTCGGCCAGGGCATGTTATTGTTGTGGGGTACGGAGGTGGGTTTTTAGTCCGTTTCATTCTTCCGTCCTTCCACCCCATCCCTCTTTTCCATCCATCCATACCCTCTGTGTCCCCGAGTCCAATCAACATGACAACTCACTCATCTTATCCCAGACCTCGCGTTCCAAAGGGCGAAAAGGAAAAGGCCGACTACGAGGCGTCAGACAACAAGTCCCAGACGCAGACCTCAGGATCAGGGGACAAGTCCGTGTAAATGGCGCCTCGTGCACCTCTTTCTCCCTCCGCGTTCTCTCTCTCGTTTCTCGCACTATCTCACTACCACACGTGCTTCCACCTTCCATACCCCTAGACTCTTTATATCCCTTTTTTCCAAGGTCGCTATGAGGCAACACTCGCCGTGCTCTGGCTCTGGCTCTACCTTGTTATTCACGAAACGCACGACATTCACGACCAACACCCCGTTTTCGCTCCCTTTTGCGATGCGATGCGATTCTGACGACGTTGACGAAGACCGCTTGCACGCTTTTTACGGTCTCTTCGCTCTTACGGCCTTACGGTCTTTCGCTCTTAGGATTTACCTCTTCGGATGAGTCTAAAGGCATTTAATGGACGGTCTTTTAATGGATAATTTCCAATAATTTGAAATTTGAAATTTGGAATGTGATTGAAATTGATTGACGTGGGTTGATCGCTGAGCTGTCAAGCTGTCAAGCTGTCGAAATAAGAGGGAATCCATTGGGATACTTAGGGGCGTTGTCATGTCGCGTCAATGTCGCGGTGCCTGTTTGTGGCGAACAGGGGCACAGTGTGACAGTGTGGACGTTGAGGAGACGGCCTATTCTGGGAAGAGGCGCGCTGTGATTGAGCGTCGTCAGTTCGTGGTATCAGCACGTGCTTGGGCGCTTGGGCACACGTTGTTTGTCGTCGGTAGGTGTGAGTGAGAGCGATCTGTCCCGATCGAGATGTTAAAGTGAGACTCGGCCACTCCCGTTATATTCACCTGCACGCCCAACTGTATCAACGCTGTGTGGCACAAAAGTTGAAAAGCTTTGACGGCTAAATGAAGAAACATATTTTTACTAACCGGGAGTAGTCACAGACAAGGATGCAGAGGTTCTCTCAGTCCAACTCTGGGTCACTGTGGCATAGTAAGGCTGGGCGTTGTTGCTATTGTCGTAGGACCAAATCGTTTCTGTTTGATGAACGCCAGGCCTGACCTGCCGTGGGCCCTGAACTGGTGTCCCACGGGTGACATTGTAACAATACCATCTGCAGTATAGTACATGTAGTGACAACAACTATGGATCGGTGACAAAACCCACCCTCAATTAGCGGCGATCCCACAGTTGAGGGAGAGATCGTTTGGTCCGTTCATAGTATTTCCACGCCGAGAATTAGCAGCTTTGTAGACATCATTTTGTAGTGGCCAAGGTTCGCAAGCTCTTGGAAGGTTGTTTGTGGTGCCATGCTTGAAATAAAGAGTACTGCAAGACCTGTATGCTATCTTCATGACCTTTATACATCTGCAGGACCACAATGAGACTCCGGAAAAGAAAAGAAAACTGCAATACTAGGTTGGACTGCCGGGTACCCTTACGAATAGGGGGGATACTATTACATAAAGACGTACATGATACAAAGTTCATCACAAGAGTGGAATCTGTTTCCAGAAATTGATACAGCATAAGAAAACAGATGAAACCAAGTAAAGAGATAATTTACGCTTCAAAGTGGTAAAGAAATAGCCCTTCATCGGAAGGTACGTTGCTACCATGCTTACTCTTACGGAAGTCAGTTTTACGGGTCATGATTAAAAAATGCAATACTCACAGACTTTGTTCTGACGCTGAGAGGTTAGACAATAATAATAAAACTTGGAACCTGAGGCTTGACCCTCCACCTCATGTTCAACAAAGTACTGTGCATTTAGAGTGAATAATACAGTTAGCTATTAGGCCAATAAATCAGTCGCTGCTTCAAAATGAAACGTACCTAAAGTCGTAAGCACTCCACTGCACCTCGCAAGGGAAGGAATTGAGCTTCACACACGTATTGCTGTCACGTCTCTTTGTTTGTTGTGAAGCTTGCCTTTTCCTCAGGCTTTCTCTTGGTTGGACATTGCTATCGATGGGCCGGGGATAAGTATGACCCTCTACCCACTCAGATCCGCCGAGGACCAGCGTCAGATGATTCAATCGTGCTCTAGTTCTATATTTCGTTAGTACAAGCGAAGAGAGCGAGGCTAGCAAATGGAAAACTCACTAGTATTACAAAGGTTCCCCAATTTCCCGTCGAAGACTCGAAGTTGTCATGAGTCACGATGTGCTTCTAAGATGGACGTTCATAGACATGTTACTACCAGATTGTAGCGGCGCCAAACTTCGTGGAAGCCGCGCGGACAGCCTTGGTCTCTTTCAAGAAGACCGATATCAGTGTCGTTACCTCCTGCACGCAGGACAGCCTACCCACATCTCTCGAAGGATGCGGGTGTCTAAAGGACCTTTCTGCGTCAGATGATCGAGAATCTGGTTCTGGAGGACTTTTATCAGGAAACACTACAAAGAAAACGCCGTTAAGAAATTATTTCAAGCGAGGAGCCTGAGATTGTGAAGGCTGCATTACTAATGGTACTTGGTGTGTTTGAAGCGATTGAACGGGAGTGGTAGTACGACCTACGCGCTCCTCCACACGGACGAGATACAGCGAGGACACGCACCTTGAGCTTCCCTTTTCCTGGTCCTTCGACTAAATCGATCGTGTTCCGCCTTCAACGTTAACTTGGCATCACATGGGCACCCACACCTCCTCCCCCCACGAACCCAACATCAGAAATAGTATAGTATAGTATTACCCGTTCAACACCGTTCTTCAGATCAGACATCAGCTGTCACCGTGCACACGATTAAAAAAATGCCATCGAAGAGCGTCTTTCAAGGACTCGGACATTAGGAACTAGGTGACACAGCGGTCAGGGAACGAACCCCACCCATGATCATTCTCTCCTCCCTTATGCAAAAGCGAAGCCCGGAAGTCTTGGGGCTACCGCCAAAGACGACACCTAGCCTTGTCCAACGCACGGCGCACAGGTTTTTCTCGCCGATTGGGCGCCAGGGCAAGGCATGTTGGGATGTTCTCGGGTTGTTCGACCCAGAGATGGTGTGGGATGGCCTGCGTAGGCTGGTCGATAGTGCCCGTGGCCATAGAGGAGGGAGGGTTGGAGGCGGGAGCGGGAGCAGGACTGGGTGCAGAGAGGAGGGAGGAAAGTTTGAGCAGAGAGGGTAGGTCAGGAGCCTTGGGCGTGAAAAATTAGTGGCGAGGATCGTAACCAGTAAGGTTGATGATGTATACTATTGGAAGGACTTAACGTACCTGTAGGACAACCTGAAGGCAAGGGCGAGGAGGTTAGACATCAGAAGGTCGTGTCACAGTAGATAACGAGAAGTGGAATGGAGGAAGACAAATAAGGATGGGAATGCATACTTTGCGCATGTTCTTCAAGTCTGATAGGTACGCGATAGTCTCGGGGCGGGTGCGCGTTTCGTGGAGGACCTGGAATCGGGGAGATGGTCGGTGGGTTAGCATGGGTAATACTCTCCCCCGCTGGTCGCGGGAGCGGATAGATTCGAGGCTGATAGGATGGGACTTACGGCGGTGGCTGCATGTGCGACTTGGGCCATCAGAGGGCCGACACCCCAGTTTTCTGCCTGCGGACAAGTGAGTGAGCGAGCGAGCAAGTTTTTGGAGATGGCGGAGGAATATTCGTTTAGGAAGGGATGGAAAGAGGGACAGGGTGAAGATCTGTGCGTTTCTCGTGCATAAACTAGGCCTGATATCTGAGAGGCTCGCGTCGAAGGGCTATTGAGCCCGTGCCCCACCTCACAATCACGTCCCTGTCAACGAGCTCTAAGCCTGCGCAGTCGATCCTCGCAGAGTTCGCAGCCCATTCACTGTTCCAGTCCTGCACGTCCACCATCAAATCAAACGCTCCACACCACTTTCCAGAGTTCTCGCTGTTCTCTTGAAAAAGATGCACTTGGGTAATCCATATGCCAACACCAACACGAATAACGCGAATAACACCAACACGAATACACGAAACAAGGTAGATGAGTGTACTGACATCAAGCAGATCCCGCCGGACGACGATTTGGATGACAAGAGGGTCTGCATCCGCATCCTCGTGCTTTTCAGACTTTTCGGGAGCAGGTTGGAGCGGAAGTGTTGGAATTGCACCTGTGGCGTTCTGTACATGTCGAGGCATTAGGGTTTGCATACTGTTAGTGGTTTGCGGACGGACGTACGCTGCTATCGTCGTCGCTCGGCGTGTTCGCCTTGGGGTTGGCTGTATCTGTTGCCAATGATTCTTCGTCGAATCGGATACTTGAGAGTCGGGGTGACAATGAAGACGAGGACGAGGTTTGTGGTGAAGAATGCATCATGTGAGTGTAGAATTTGTGATTTCGAAGGTGAGGATAGCCTGAAGGAGGTATTATGGCTATGGCGAAAGTGGGATAACGACTTGAAGGGAGTAATAAACTCTTGCGGTAGCTAGGAACAATGAGTAGTGTTCTCGGATTCATGATCATTGGCAAACCATAAATTCATACAAGTTTGACGGCCATAATTATAAATATGATACAAGTCATATGCGCCTGGACCTGGGACAATATATAACTTTGAATGATATCACTTGTACAGTGATAACAAGCGCAGCAGCACGATAATGCATTTATAATTTTCAGACACTAAGTACAAACTGTATTTTATGTGAGCAATATAACGAACGTTTGGCTCAACCACGAAAAGGCCTACAAAGCCTTATCGCTTTATCTCGGTCGTTCACTTGAGAACAATGCCACCGCGGTATACTATTCACATTGCAACAATCTCAATCCTTCTCGCCAGATCCTTGGTTAGACTGCCTTGAACCAAGAGCACAAAAAGGCTGAAAGTACCTGATTCTGCTCTCAAGCGGGGTAGTGTAGAGCTTGCCCGTTGAAGTGAAGCTCCAGTGATTCCGTCACCGTCACGACAAGTATTCGATAGTTGTTCACATAGATACACATGTTGTGATTGAAACTAGAGAAAATGTTGGCCCTTAATCAACGGTCAGTTCGAACCAGCTTTCGAACCACGGACGGATCCCCGACGCTGATTGATCCCGGTGCATTCCTTGCTAGTCGGTCTCGGATCCAATAAGCATATTTATTTGTGTTCGCGTGGTGAGGGTAAGGATGTTGTGGGGAAAACTAGCCAGTAGCGGCAAAGTTCGAGGGTCTCGATCCCGCTCGGTGTCAGAGCGAAGGATGTTGTTGATCGTCTGCATTGTCACATGTTCTCCTCAAGCTTTTAGTGGCGCAGCTCTTGAGCATGTCGTAAGAGGCCAAGTCACGGACGCATTACCTGTCCGTCAAAATCATTGGGCGGCCTTGGATCAAAATGATAAGCCGGATATAGAACTTGAGGGGACGACGTTACAGTAACCTACCTGCTTATTAAACATGGGCACGGAAATCGGGGGGAAATATATAACAATACCACTCAGGAGTCAGGGTGTACGCGCGCCAAACATGTAGTCGACGCTCCTGAAGGCGAGTAATAAGGTCCCGAGCACTTTAGGTGGATATACGAGCAGGATATTGAAAGAATACAGCAATTATAGACTGCCACCGCCCACGGCGTATCCTTATAAACAGCATGTCCAGTGAGCGTCGAGGATGAAAATATACGGGCTGTAAGCGTCTGACGTTGCGCGGGTAGTCATCAATGACAGCTTTCATATGCAAAAATATAAGCAAGGTTGTGGCACAGAAGATAGAGATATGGGTTGCGCTGGGTGATTTTTTGATTTTTCTGCAGGACGGGAGTGTGGTGGGCCTAGCGAAAGCAGGCAGGCAGCCTCGTGTTCAGATGATAAGTGCAAAGGCAGAGAAGAAGTCCACGGAGCGGTGATTTGCGAAATGACGCATTCCTGGCATTGGCTGTTATGAGAAAGCCAAGGGAGCCAAGAGCTGAAGGAAGATTGAAAGGCGAGAGACTGTGACGGGCTGTGACGGCGTAACCAGCATCCGTCTTTACCTCCTACTCCCATGGATTCGCCGCCAACGTTGCGCTGGGCTCTGTCCTTTCTCGTCCTCCTTTTTTATTTTTCACCTGTGTTTGCCCAGAATTCAACGTCAGATTCAGATTCATATGACAGCGATCCAATTCTTCAGTATCGCCCCAGTTTTGCCAAATCACTCCCTGTCCAGATCCTCCTGACAGGTGTCGTCCTCACTCTAGTGGTCGTTCTTTTCGTACACCTTATCTTCACAGCTCAATACCACTGGAAACTTGCACAAGTCAACTATGTACTCCAGATCTCTGCAGTAACGACTCTGCTCATATCCCTCGTCGCCACCATTCACGTCGTTTTTTCAGCAACTGTGCAGGAGAGCCAGCATTGGCCCTATATGCTCAGCTATCTCGCAGTGGACATGCCCAGTTACGTTACTCCAAATTCGACCGTTAACCCAAATGATCCTACCACCATCTATGCACATCAGTGGACTCTTGCCGAGAGGGCCACCTGGATAGTTATGAATGCAACTACCTCAGGTCTCATTCAGGTCCGTTTTTTGTTCTTTGCGGCATGTACCTATTTCACCTTGGATTGACTCAGATCACCCATATCCACTTCTTGACGCTGTTGTTTCCTTCTCACTTAGAAGCGAGACTCATCTTTGGCCTATTGGGTGAGTGTCACTACTTCACTCTCGGTGCTTTGTGCCGCGTAACTGCCGCAAACTACCCTGTATCTCTCCTTCCGGCTACGTTCCCTATCTTTGGATATCATTGTCCACCATGTTTTGGTCCAAGCTGGAAAGCTATACGTAATTCATCAGGAAGTCATGCTTTACTGCAAGTTTAGTTCCTGTCACGGGTGGACATTGCCCTTTTTATATAAATCGTTTCCCTCGTGCAATCACTCACAGCCGGCATGGCTGCGTTGTAACTTGGTGTCCCTCTCGTACACGTATTGATACTTTGTGCTTGACAGGACCCCTAGCCATCATTTCTGCAGTAATGCAGCTTATCCCGATTTACTATGATACGAGCCTTGTCTCCCTTGTCAACGATGTTCGCAACGTCTGCAACGCGACGCTCTCCCTCCTATTCACGTTGGCGCTACTTATCTGGGGCCTTCTCGTCAATCGCCGGCAAGCCTGGCGCACTGACGGCGGAACAGCGGCTTTCGGTGCAGGCGCCATCTCCCTCGCCATCATCTCCACCACCCTCAACTTTTTGTACATACCAAGCCAAGACCAATATGTGTGGATGCCCAAGTTGATGTGGGCCGTAGTGCTGTGGCAGAGCTTTTTGGGTTGGTGGTGGTGGGTTGGAGCGGGAATGGGAATTGGTGAGGTAGAAGAATTGATGAGAAGAGAGGAGAAGAGGGAGAGAAAACGGAAGTTAAGGGCTCAGAAGAGGAAGGAACAAAGGGAGAAGGCGAAATCGGTCTGGAAGGGCATGACGGGCGCTTTCAGGCATGAAAAAGGTGAGGACGACGTCAATCGAAGCCCGGGTGAAAGGCCCGAAGATGCCAGGCCATTATCGCGATCACAAAGTGCCGTTGCCTCACTCAATCCGTCCAGGAGCATCCAGTCCTCTTTGGGTTCATCTACAGCCAGCACCTCTGGCCAGCTCGGAGGTAACATGGCAGGAGGTTTCGTACAGCGGGTTTATGCGAAGGTTCGGCACGCGCATATCACAGCTGCACGTATCCAGGCCGTGGAGAGGGTTGAGCGACTGCACCAGGTGTGGGAGGAGTCACGGAATGATGAGCGGCAAGCAACGTGGGGCAGGGGGAACTATGGCATGAGAGGGCCGGATCGGGAACGCCGTCAGACTGTGGATAACACTATGGATATTGAGGAAGAAGAAGAGGAGGAGGAGGAGGAGTCGATGAAAACCAAGTTGCCGAGAGTGAGAGATCGGCGTCGGCGTCGTAGCTCGGTGGTAGAACTAGACGGGCATCGTCAGGAGCCGCAGGGCGAAGACCAAGATCAAGATACCACAGCGCAGGAGCGGAGCTGGTCGTCGTCGGTGTGGTGGTGGGCTCCCTTACGCCAGTGGAGGCTGCAGGACTCTACCGCGTATCGATGAATGTGTGGTGTGGGGGATAGGGGCATTGGTTGGAGCAAAGCAAATTCGAATCGTGGAAGCTATCATATTATCTTTTAGTATACATTGTGTACCCTATATATCTGTGCTGTTAGCGGATAGTTTTCTTGTAATCGGAGGGAGGGCAGTTGACGCATTGAATGAAGTGGTGGAGGCAGAGGACGATGGCAGCGATGGCGATGGGTACTACTTGGCTGTGAAGTGCGGTAAGGATGGATTGTGAGAGGTAGGTAGCCCACTGGGATCTCTTTGCACCGTCATGCTGATAAGCGATCTATAGTCTAATACAGGAAGGCTCGATGCGACAAAAAGTGACCTGGTAAGGATCAACATTTCTGATGAATACGTTTGCGTTGGTTGCTGACTCTCATGCGCTTTTATTCTAGGATTGTTGAGCTTCATCGTCCAACCTTCCTCTTCCTGTACTATGTATCAGCTGCTGCCAAGTCACCACAAACAGTACTCATTTATGTGAACGGATGTCCTCACTTACAATCACCAACTTCCTGTATGATGCCCCCTCCCTCGTGTACTACCACCAGTATGGAGTCCATGTACCTGAATTCATAAAGAGAAAAAATAATGATCTTTCCCTTTCTCGCGATGATACCGCGTTGGGTTTTTTTTTCCCTTCCAATTTGGAAGCTATGTCAGACAAAGGCGAAGACGTGTGCAGGCTGATCTTGGTTTGGTACGTCTGATCGTAAGTGATGCGGTGAATGAATCGCAGGCGGCTGGTTTGTTTCTCGCGTGAACTTCTTTTAGATTGTTGGACTTGATTTTTTGTTTTGAAAAAGGTTGTCGTATCCCCCCATATTCTGTGTAGAGTATCACAACGCGGACAAGTTTGCATTTTCATTGGCAGCCGCTCTCAGAGCGAAAGGCCTATAGACTACACCGCCAAAATTGCGGTACCCCGGCAAAATATACCTCGAAAGTTGTCTGATTATCATTCATTACACTTGAAAGAGTTTATTATTTATGTGCTCTCGTGCACTAATTCTCAAAATTTGGTGACGTTCCTGATGAATCAGTTGGGATGTGGATGGTGTGTCCCGATTTCAACGAGGACGACATCACCTGCAAGGGAAATTATACATATTGATCGCACACATTCTATGAGGCCGTTCACTTACTTCCGTAGTGATGATTTTATCACTGGAGGAATATCATACTATAATTCATTAGATATTTTCGAAGCCTTCTATGTCAACAAATTTGTTGATAGTTGCGCTTTTGCAATGGTTTCGTAGCTAGGATGCATGGTGTTCTGTATTTTTACTATATTTTGTTCTTGCCTTGCCTTAAAAGTACCCTTGACTTTTTTCAATTGTACTTGATTGAGCTGAACGATACATATGAGCTTGAGCTTGACATATCATCTTGATTATCCTTGGTGAGTCTCAAATAGCTTGACCATAGTCCTACGTATACGTACTTGCCTGAAGGTTCTTAACTGTCTGGATACATCTTAGTGCAGGTATCAAGGTCTTCCAAGACCGACAAAAAAAAATGTAGTTTCGCCGATGTATTTGTACACTTATAATACTTCAATTTGCTCTCATTCAACATCCGTTAGTCAGGTCATGCTAATACTATTAGGACTTAAACTTGATGCCATGCCTAGTCCCAATTCTCCTGTCGTTCCCAGCTCCAACGTTGCGAGTTCAAACGGTGATAATTTGCCTCCTAAGTGGTACGACAAAAATTCGCGTCGCCTTCCCGAGGGCCATAGTTTGAGTGCCTCTACATCCTTACCATCGGTGATTCCGATTTCCTTCAGGACTGGGAGAATGTGCGTAATATCTGGCTGAAGGGAGCCTAGGAAGTAACTAAGCCCAGAGTCATCGCTATTACCATTACGGGTCAGGGGGCTATAAGTAGAAACTGCGAGAGGGGAGGGTGTGGGTGCAGATGTAGTGGGTGTAGGTGTAGGGAAGGGGGTGCGGCTGCGGCTGTGCGCCACTGTGCCGGATGCTGACACCCTTGGCGTAGGGACAGTAAGGGAACTGTTTAACTGGTCGGACCGCAACGGTTGGTTTGGGCTCTAAAATAACGTTATGGAGTTAGAAATTATAGTAACTTTCGAAAGCAACGGCGAGACCAACAGGTGCGGATACTGTCGATTTTGCTTTGGTAACAGATTGGTTCCTTTTTCCCTCCATAGTTTCCTTCTCCATCAATATGACGGTCAATCTGTTTGACAGGTAGCGTGTCATGTAGGCCTCGACTGGCCAATCACCTTCATAATGCTTTAATAGATCATACTGTGCTTTATGCGCCTATACAAACTGTAGATGATGTTTTGATAGGCAAGAGCGACGATCACACATACATTTTCAACAAAAGACGCCCAGTGATCCTGTGCTTGTTGGCGAATGGGCTTGTCCGTATCTAGGAATTCGGGCGCCATCTTCCTTAAGTTTCTCTGCAAAACCAAGATCAAAATAACGATATAAAAAAAGTGTACTGTGAATATACTTACAGTAAAGACTGAAAAACGCACAGAGGTGATTCGCATAATAGACCACAACCGAACGTAAGGTGTAGCGCGGCTGGACAGCTTCTTAAACTCTTTTGGTAGGGGCCGAGGGATCACCTTGTGTTGAATTGCCACTGTGGCTAGGGTAGATGCCCGGGTTTGGGTCATGTTTCGCGAAGTATCGATGCTAGTACTTTCGTCTAGATATACCGGTAAAAATTCGATCTCATGAATAAGGGTACATCTTACCAGTCATAAAGGCGTATATTAGTAATGAGTAAGTGGCATTTTGAGATACGTACTTTAAGTACTCAGCGTTCACTTCAAAGAGAGAAATCGATTATAATTGGCCTGAAACGTCAGTTCGGGTCATATGCCACACCAATCAGATACTCATAGTAGAAATACAAAATGCTTTATTCAGAAGACCTTAGCTACATTCCATAATCAGACAGAGAATATCCGTCTGTTAAAACCAATCTTCCGCTGGTGAAGTTTCAACTCCGAGCAAGCTTGCCCATGCTTCAATGTGTAGGCTATTAGTACATCTCCAGACTCATTCCATCATGGATTTCGTAATCTGAGAGTGTAATGTGGTCCTTGTAGACTGTGTACCTGTCAAAAGAACTGGCATGAATACCTTATAAAAACAAAAATCCAGTTTATAAATTGGGAAAGAAGAACCGGTTTGGTACTGTAGATGTATTAGAAGCTACGACCATCAGGTCAGGCTGGCCCCTAAGTACTGACAGACTCCGCTATGCCCCTAAACTGCGGAAGCAGTAGGTTGGAGCATGCTGACCTTCCTATCTGCCAGATCTCGAGACGCAAAAGCAGATGCGAATGCGAAAGATGGATCACGCGAAAGATAGCACAGGAACGCACCATTTCTTGAGCTGGATCTTCCTGTGATCTGTTCCAGTTTGGGCAGCGATAAGCTTCTTCAAATCGCCCACCGTGTCGTCTGGGCTGCACTTTACCCGGACCTTTCTCCCCAATCGATCATTCGCAATCACCTAGAAATCGCAATGATGAGATGGATATGATAAAAAATACTCCCACTGGTCGGAGCAAAGAAATAACTTACTTCTATGAGGGCCATGAGGGCAAGATACACGATGTCGTTCCGCTAAAACCAGCCACCGTGACAAACAATTCACGTTCGCAGCTTCGTTCTACAAGATTACGTAAACACACACATATTGGGCAAAACCATTGCGCGCCATTTTAAAACCGAAGGAAAGGATGCACGGAGCATATCTTCTTGGCCAGTCTTCTGGTCGGAAATGGACCCCGATTATCAACAGATTACTCAGTCTCGTAGAACCAATATAGCAAGAAATCTTTGTCCCACCCTTCATTGCTTTCTCACACTTCAGTTATCTGTAACTCCTTCCAACCAAGTACTATGGTGTCTCAACATTATAACACTAACTTAAAAGGTGAGCATTATCATCGTAACAGTCTTCTATCTAATCCGAGCTGTGTATATGTAGGATGGCTTAGTTTTAGTCCACTAACTAAGGCCTTACCCCGCACTTGTGGTCTGGTTCCACCCAAGCAGATAATTTCCTGTCCCTCAAATTGGCTGGACCTTGCATTGGATCGTGTTAAGGTACAGGATCTCTATAATGCATACCAAGTGAGTGCTGTGGAATACCGTGTATTGATGGTGCGCTCTTTCTCATCATGTTCAAGTATAACATGCTAATACTAGAAAATGCAGAAATTCATAAGGTGGTTTGCCATAAGGCACCTTGATGTGAGGAAGAGGTATACAGAACAATCTCTAGAAACTCTAGAATTCTATAAGCGAGAGGTATTTTTCAACTTATCCTTGAATTGGATTATCTTGCAATCTGGGTCAGGTTTTGTTGTGGAAACCACTTGGCCGGTTTCTTCTACAATATGATGAGTCGTGGATCTTGGAAGTGACAACAAGAAGATTATTCATCAGAAGACATGAGCTTATTAGACTTAGGGTGAGTATTTCACTACAATTTCAAGTACTTTTGCTTTGACAACTGTTTTGACACAAAAGCAGAGGCTTGTGTTCAATGTTTCCCGCGTGCAGGTGAGTACACAATGTGTTGCAATATTTACCAAATTGACCATCAGTTGTATTGCACTTCAAGCTATACAAACATAACGAAAACCCCATGGCCCACGCTGCGCCCACCACCGACGTTAATCCATGTGTTGCATCTGTTCCTCCCACCACCGACGTCAGTCCATGTGTTGCATCTGTTCCTCCCAGCTCCGAATGCCCTCAATCCTGTGCGGAGGGTACTTCAGTACGCCAAGGAGATATCATTGTGAACAGCATGCAAAATGTTCACTTTGACAACATTTCTTCACCATTCAGTTCTCAAGCTACTGTAACATCTCACAGAATGCGCAACAATGTTCCTGATAGTTCAACTCAAAATCCGGCTCGGGCTCCGAGCCGCTCTTTATCGTCGTTCCTGGGGTCTCTGACTCCCAACATGGGACACCTTTTATCGCACTTCAGGACTGCTGGTATAGACGACGAAGCATTTGCTGATATTCTTACCTGGAACCCTTACCTCCGAGCCAGTTTTTTGCGTCGAGAACTGAAGACCAGGTGTAGCGGGTATCAATTGCAGGTTATCGTTACAGGCATGGATAGATGTGGGGAAGACTGAAGTTTACCGTGAAGATGCCCGTCGAATATGAACGAATGTATATGTATCAACTAAGCGCAGTGTAGTGTTTGCTGAATCTACCGAGAAGTCATTTCGACGATGTATGAAAATTTTAATCTTGCTGCGATCTCTGGGGTTCATCTATAGCCATTCTTGTTATGTTGAACCCGAGTTTATGTGAAATGAAAGAACGGATCGTCTTCATGTCGATTGAGCTTTAGAATTAAAATATTTAATAATACCGGGTACAACAAACATCCACAATGGGCTACCTTCCGCGTCTATATTTACAGCGTGTACATGGCGTCCGAAGTGCTCGACATTATAGTGCGGTTAGAAGTCCCCCGGTCAGCACAATAGCTCCCATAAGGGAGAATGTGCTGGCTCTTGACGAAGATGCACCATTGGCTGACTCCTGTGGGCCACGATGCCATATTAGTAATGTTTGGAGATACCAACGAAGTCTAAAGTAAACCGAGACTTACAAGTTGATTTGCACTGGCGGCAGCGGGACATCCGTGCTGGCATGAAAGGTTCATATTACTTCCAATGACCTGTGCGAGTGCAGGTTCTATCGGCGCTGGAGCAGGTTCAGCAACAGGTTCCGGAATAGGTGCAGGCGACGCCATAGCTAAATAATGCGGCCCATCAGTATGAAACTTGGGGGTCTACATCACGTAGTGACTTACCAAGGGCAGTGAGCGCGAACAAGAGTATCCAGACGGTGATTACACGTCGGGAAATGGAAGTCGATTGGGTGCTGTACATTTTTGTGTGATTGCGATGATTGATAGCACAAATGCGATTTGTAGAGGGGAAGATGCAAGTTTAAGGAAAAATATATAGTCGCGACTATTCGAGAATTGATAGCAGGGAAGGAGCGTGTAGCTTGAAAATCCTATGAGACTTAGTCAATAAGCCTTGGAGTGTCCCAGGATCGTAGAGGGCGAGCAATAGAATGATGAGAGTGATTTTGCATCGGTTTTTAAGAGCCATGGCGGTTACGAAGTGAGCGTCAACTTGTCGAGTCGCTAAACCAATACAAGGCGTTCCCTTCATCCAAGAAAGGAAACATTGTTCAAAAACATCACGTGACATGAATTTCCTTGTATTTCCTGGATTGCGTTTCCCCCAATCCTTGTAACTGGATGAATGGATGAATGTAACCACCAGGAAATGCTCACTGGCATCCACTGGCATCGGCAAAGATGATTGTCAAATAGTAGAAGTAAAGTTTTTCTTGTGCTATTTTGAAAAAGGTCAACGAAGCCTAGTGTTGATGGTGCTGCCAACAATAACCGCGATGTGATGCACTCTGCGGTTTTAAAGTGCACGCTTGGATGTATCATAGGACGTGCTTCACTGGTTCGTTCTTCAAGTCAAAAGCTGCGGTACTGAGTAAAAATCAGAGAATTCGTTGTGAGCCTTTGAATGATCATCGATCATCATCAGGCGAGTTCAAATATTTCCAAGCGTAGGGTGCTTTACGAAACCTCAGCCATGCCAGATACAAAGCTATTAGTGAACGGATTGTTAGTAGCCGTATCCTCTTGCAATTTGAACTTAACTCGTCAGGAAGACCTTAGGTGAGGACGCTGGACCTGTCAAAAGCCATAAATCCAATGATAGCAGCTATAACTGTATGTATTCCATGATGCTGCTAGGAACGGACGAGGATAATATGTTAGTATTAACATTCATATCTGAAATCATTGATATCAACCCTTTAATCGAGGAGGGAGTAAACATGAAATAGTCAATACCTCTTCGCTTACTCTGGGTTCAACTCGGAGCCCGAGTCAACATTTTCCGCCACAGTATCGTCTGTGTCTTCCCTATATGTCGGACGAGTAAAAGTCTAATACGTACTAGAAATATTGTCGATACCGTGTTTGAGCCGCAGCGTGGACTCCAACATAACAGCTAGTCAAATCGGGCAGGTACTAACATCTCGCCTCCAACTAGTACAACAGTTCTCTGTTGGTCCGACAGCGACATTTCCGCTAGTAAGCAAACAGCGACAGTAGAACGCATGTGCCTGGGATGACATGGCTAGTTGAATGGTGGCTTTATAGAACGAAATCTCAAGAAGTCTCACTGCTCTGAATATAGGGTCAGCGCAATTTACTTCCAAGTGTTCAAAACCATAGCTTACGAAGTATTGAGAAAAATGAGCGGTGCAACTAGGATTAATGAAGTATACGAGTCAAATGATGAGCAGGCTGGGTAGGGACAAATGGCGACTGACTGTGAGATATTTGGAGGAATAGTTGAGGACCTTCATCGTAATGTCTGGCCCTGATTAAGTTCTTTACACGACCAAAAAGAACAGAGCCATTTCTATCACTGTTGATCAATGGAAGCCAGACAAGTCACTCCACAGTTATGTGGACATTAAATGTCATTGCACTAATGCCTATATGATCCAACTCGACGTGTATATTCTTCCAAGCCCGAAACTTGATGAAGTCCTATACTGCAACGTTTCTGATATTTGGGACAGTTCATCGGATAAGGCGGATTGGAGGATAAGATAATGGAGCGTTGGGTGACGTCTCTGAACTTACCATAAATCTTGAACATTATGCAATTGTTATCAGTAGTTGCTAACGGGTTGTTCAATTGACATGACTGCTGATAGAACTTATTGAATAGATGCCCCTATTTAGAATCAGACCTTATCAACACCTAGACGCCTTAAAAAAGGAACGTTTGAAATCAGTGCAAAGTGTGAAGCGAGACTATCGCCGGCACCAGGTAGGACATTGACACCCCTGCAAAAGCAACGCAATCTCCTGAAGTTTGTCGATCCTAGCACCACAAGCGACCCTCATGCTTTTCTCTCAGGTTTGTCATCACACCAGGGCAAATAAGCTTCCAATGGCTTCAAATTGATATACTACACGAGTATATGCCGTGATTTCAGGACTTCATAGTTACACATCATTAGAAAATGCACGTACTTAAGTCATTTGTATAGAACCTCTTCATATTAAATACATCTGTGGCCTATTCATACAATGGGACTCTTTCCTTGAATTACTTGGTGGACCAACTTCAGTGAGCATATTCTGATTCCTATTTCGACTCGCAAGTACAGACTTTTCCTTCCTGCGTACAGACGCAATTGTCACCCGTACCGTTACAACCGCACTGCTTTGAATAGGATCGTTAGCGGGGTTCGGAAAGATAGGTTCGATGGCAAAGTTCGATGCAACAGCAACCGAAATTATTAATCCAACGCACCTTGTTAGAATGAGCCTTGTTGACGCACTTGTCACATTCACATTTTCCCTGAGGGCACGCGCAACCCGTCCCTGAAGGACCGCAAGCACTTAAGGACCAGCTGTCAGCAATTAGACTGACGATGTGTTGGAGGAAGCTCACCCGCAGTTACTCTGGCAAGTACAGGAAGCAACCATTGTTAACCGATGTTAAAATTGTAAAGGACGTAAAAAATGAGTAGACGCAAAAATGGCTCAGAGGTGGTGATGGTATGGGGGGAAAATCTAGGTGGTCCTTCATAGTTTTTATACTGGAACGATCGCCGAGGTGGGATGAATGACGTAGCCTGACGTGCAGAAATGAAACGCATCCGAGAGTCCGATGGAAATGTGGAACATTGGGTGGCCCCTATAGCGCGGAATGGAGAATGGTCTCCACTGGTTGGATTTCGAATAAGAGCTGCATATCTAGAACACTCGACGTGAACTGGACCAATATATATTATCTCGAGATATGTGGTGTCTCTACAACTCTGAGCTTTGCTCGAAGTCGAGATGCCGTTTGACAAAAAGACTGAATTTCGAGTCAACCATGATGGTGGTCAATGACGAGGAAAGTGACGAGGTGCACAAACCTTGATGTATCCGGTAATCCTGTCCCACGGTCCCCAAAAGGGCTGTCAGCAGTACCAATACCACAACGACACATTTGTTGGACGCCGTCACGGTTAAGCCCGTTCGCTTGATATACCATTCGACAATTCATTGTTTGCTATTCGCCATACATCTGCAACACTGTCTTGTAGAAAACTGATATAGGTGTCTTACTCCAGGAAACTTGGCCGTAGATTGCCATCTGGCGTACATTGAACGGTACGCATCCAACTGAAGGTTATCTTCACACTAATTATCGTCCGAGTGAGTATCAGTGTGCCTTTCCCGTTTATATGCGCCTTTAACGCCCTGTGTCAAGTTCTTGTTAGCTCGCATACCTTCTTGAATTCATAAAGAAGATATAGATCAGTCTTGCTTCACATTTCCGCCTACCCTTGTCCAGTGGTCAGAGGAGTTACAGTGCTCGCAGTGTGTAGTGGTCTGTGTCTCATTAAAAACAGATTATAGTACATTATAGCGCTCTCGGTACGTTTTGATCACAAAATGTCTCCCTTTATATGTGCTGAAGATGCCACTCACGCAGATATCATTCACAGTAATACATCCCACAAATGAATTCTTACCCTCCAGAGCTTCTCGTTCAATTGGCACCAGTTATGTTTGTAGCTGGCCTTGATCCTCCTCCAGGACAAGTTTTGCCTCCATCCACGCCTCAAGCCCCTGCTGTTTCTCCATCAGCACCAGAGCCTCTACCTACCCCATCCAAAACTCAAGATCCATTTATCTCTCTCACCTTGCGTTTACGCGAGGCCCTCCAGTCACAGCGCAAATCATCAATATGGGCGCCTGAGAGAAACAAGACTTTCCAAATTCTCCTCGTTGACAAGTCGGTTCGCTTTCCACCGCGAAAAACCGTTTCGCCCGACGATCCTCAGTTTCCTACCGCTCATTCTCCACTTTCTCCTCTTACTCCCACTTCACCACTATACCCAGATGGTCTCGTAGCTCCTATATGGATACGTAAGCACACGGCGCTAGTCCCAAGCGTGTTTGTCCTTTTCCTCAGGTTGTTCGAGGCTCCTCCTGTCAATCCTCGATCCCCATTAGACCCACCAGATGCTGAACATGAACGAGAGCGGATAGAAGACGAAAGGAAGAGAGATACGGAGTTGAGTACAGAGATTGCCCTGAGGAAAAGGATCACAAATGAGAGGGGAATCAAGCTCACGGTTGTCCTTATGGCAAGCAGGAGAATGTTAGGTGCTAGTGGAATTTATAGTCTCAGCATTGATACAATTACTCACGGCATAACAAGATGATCCTTCACTAGACGGACGACTGACCTATGTCAGAAGACAGAGTGGGCTTGATTCCAGGGCTGCTCTTTTTGTTCTAAGCCCTGTCACAACCTCTGAGCTGAATGATTTCGTTCGCAGGTGGGCACTCCATATCGCGTGGTCATTTTGAAACTAACAGCTGTATAGTCTACAAGACGCACTCTACGATCCCGCTGTCGAATATTACACTGCGCACTCCAAACGAGTACGACGGAAGCGTAACCGACATTCGCAGGCAGTCTCATCGTATAACCCTACTCCACTTTCGCCACTGGGTTCTGGAGGCGGCCTAGGTGTACCGCGCCCACTGAAGCCTGAAGGTTGGACTGTGCGATATGAATACAAGATGGCTTGCTTTGCAGAATTCAGAGGGGAAGACGAAGTCGCTTTAAAGTGAGTTTTCGTACTTATCATTGATAATAGAACAACACTGAGAATACGATAGACACTATCAAGATGCCTATGCTACTTTGCTGATCATGTTTGGCTCAACTGCGATATTGCCCCCTCGGACGAAGAGATGGGCTGAAGCGAAGGTCCTCGCAGATTGCATGAATTTGAAGGTGAGCCCATACGCTAATATAGCTTATCATGCTAGATCGTTGATATAATCTCGATAGATCTGCAAACTCTACTTGTATAACAATGAACACGCCCTCGCTTTATCTCACCACAATTCTCACGTACGCAAATTTGCAGATTTTTCGCGTGGCTGGGGGATTGGCGAGGAGACGTTTGAATATTGGAGCTGGATGGCCAGACAGTGAGTGGCTATGCGTTGTCTTCTTTCAATATCACAGCTGTAACATCGACCAAATTAGACATCGTGTTCTTGCTGAGCTGCTAGAACAAGGCTCTCGTACGACGCTGACAATTCCAACTCATAAACCTGTTCCCCAGCCTCGTCCTACTACGCCTTCCACAGGTGCGACAAGCACTATCGGGACTCCGTTTGAGCTGGACGCCGTGCGTTCATTAGGCATGAACCCTAGTCATGCGTTGCAGCACCCTGGTTTCTATTACTATATGGCTGCGCGATGTACCGAGATACGAAGAGAACGGTATTTGGCTGTTGAAGGGAGTGAGGTGAGTATATTATGCATAGTATAGACGCAGCTATATTAGCACCATCCTTACTTTTGGACTCGTGCGGTTGTAGGCTACTCAACAAGCGAGTGCGGCGCCTGGGCTTGTCAACGAGAAAAAGGTGGATCACTTGACTATCATCTTGGAGGTGAGTGCGCGACAACTATTGTATCATTCGTAAGTCTTATTCGTGATCTTGACAATGCAGCTCTACACAAAGTCCTATGAGCTGTTCAAGAAATACGGATCTCCATCAAGCCAGGGACGCCTGACTCTGTGGATCGCATATCGCATAGCACAAACTTACTACGAATCTAATAAATTCGACATGGCTGTACGGTACGTCTCCGTCTCGCAACGTACTGCTTTGACTCGTTTGTGACAGGATAAATAGGTTCTTTGAAAGAATCGCAAAGACGTATCGTAGGGAAAAATGGGGCCATATGCTTCATCCACTGTTGTCAACTTGGTATGCATGTGCGCAGCGGCTGGGAGATGTAGAGCTTACAGTGAAATTACTGCTAGAGATGCTAGGAAGTGGTACGTCCTGCGTTGGCATTACTCATTTTTAGTGGTTTGATAGCTTATTTGTTTTGCCATAGTAGGTATGGATGTGGCTGGAACGTTACAGGACGATTTAATAGCTGTGCTCAAGGTATGTGGTACAAACTTCAAAGACGTACCCTCTGCTGACTGAGAAGCTACTAGAGCACGATACCTGCGTCCCCTGAGGAACCATTAGTCATAGAACCAGCAGAAATTGAACCACTCCGTATGTATACTGTGCAGTTTGGAATGGGTCACACCGCTAATAATGTCGTCAACTTTTGAAGTCGATACAATATCAGTATTTTGGAAACAACAAGTTCGAGTTGCCGAAGCCGCAGCATTTCAACTATCTCTCAGTGCGCCGTTGAACACAGTGATATCATCCCTTCCGATCGATTCTATTTCGGTGTTCTTTTCCGAGGGTTTTGCCCCACTCACTATACGACACTCGGCGCCGTCTGAGCCAAAGTCCTCGGATCGTGTCCCTATGCAGCTAGTCAAAGTAGGCCACGTGGAGTCGGGCGGCGAAACACGAGAATTACAAGCCGATTTAAGATGGCGTCCTGGAGACATCCTGGTTTTAGCTGGGACAATATCATCCGAAGTTCCCTTGACGATCAAAGTGAGTGAGACGTTTGATTCAAGATTAATGCTTGACCCGTGTTGCTTTTATCTCAGGTCTCAAAAATACTCTTGACATTGAAGGAGGCAAGTTGGGTAATAGAGATCCCTCTTGCGCCTTGTGCATCTCGAGATGGGGTGGGGCCTGTTCCTCGGTGGCTGAGCTGTTTGGATCCAATTATCTTCGTACCAATTGCAAGAGAAGAATATTCGACCGTTGCGTAAGTCCTTGATTATGCAGCTATTCTTTAGTATACTGTCTTACTTATTGTAACATATCCACTAGCGTTCATCATCGTCCGCATCAGCTGGCTGTGTCCTTTTCACATGAAGCACCTGCCCTCGTAGACGAAGAGTTTCCTATTGTCATAAACATTACAAATACAGATGAAAGAGATCTCGACGTTGTGATCGACGTATTACTCCAACCTACCGAGTTTGATGAAGCAGGTTAGCTCAGAGTTCTATCATTCTTTGTGCAAAGATCTTACACGATATTGCCAGATAATCAAATAATAATTGACGACCAACGATCATCAGGTCTACTCCGAGGCATTCATCTTGGAAATGTAGCACCTGGAGTTACTGCCCTCAAGACGCTGTACCTTGTTAACAACGGTGCAGCAGGCGACCGAACAGTTGACATATCCATACAATCACGTTCTGTGTCACCAGGTCGTGATCTACCCAACTCTCCACAAAGCCCAACATCACGTTCGGCGTCTGATATGACTGAGACGCTGGAAACACTTGTTATTCCCACTGTGAAAGCCGTGAAAGCATCGTATGATGTGCGGTATCAAAGGGCCCTGGGTAAACAACTTGGGATATCCGATCTCCGTATGTTTGAAGACGGGTTTTGGGATGACGCCCATGGTGGTGAAGCCATTGTTTCTGCCAAGCTGGAGTGCTCTGGGCCTTGGAAATTGGAAATTGAAAGTTTGAAATTGATACCGCAGGTGAGTTGGACTTGACCTGCGACGGAAGAAAAATGGTGCTAATCAATGGCTCCAGAACGGTGAAAATGCTAAAATCGTTGACAACTCTTTGGATGGATGTGTTGACGATATGTTCCCAGATGGTACGACATAGTTCTTGAAACGCAATGAAAATATCGCCTATACTCACAAATTCCTCCAGAATATCTGCCTGGAGATGAATTCTCAGACACTTGTCGCATTTCTCTTGCTCCAGACGAGGACCAGGTTCTAGCTGGTGCAGAGCTGCCATGTCCAGGGACATATGAAATTAGTTGGCGAAGGTCAGTCTTAGGTCAGGTACCTAAGGTCCAACCGTCTAACAGATTTCTCAGGATATCACCGAATGGGGATCGTGGTCCTCTATCCGTCACCCAGCTCCCCTTACCAGCGCTCTGCCCGCCAAAAGATGGACTAATTGCTCTTCTTCGCGTTCCATCTGTAGCCAAGTTACATACGCCAATGTCTATGCAGTTAATAGTCCGTAACCGGCATCCTTCTCGCTCCGCAAATATTGTTGTTCAGCTTGATCCTGAATCACTGGATGGCTTCATTGTTTCTGGCTTACGAAGTGGACGAGTTCAAACTCTCTTGCCTGGAGGAGAGGAAAAAGTTAGATGGCGGCTAATCCCAGTGGAATGTGGACATGTTAGTGTTCCACGGGTGAAAGTGATGGATAGACGGAAAGGAACTGCAACTTCTCAGGCCGCGGGAACAGGACAGGATACGGAAGCGGAGTCCGAAGGAGAAATCGTCAAGGTCGTCGATGTGAAGTGGGATTGGAGGGGTCCAGAGAATGGCGACAAAATTGTCAATGTTGACCAGGCTAAAGTCGGGGCAAGAGTAGAGAATGAGAATGTTAAAATGTCTCCAGAGCAGCGCGGTGCGAACACAATTCTTGTATTACCATGATACTCAGTTGGAAGATTACCAGCATGTCGCACCGCTGCTTCACGCGCATATAATTTTTATATTATCCGGTCATCCATTTTTGCCCTCCTTCTGCCTTGGTTCGTTCTGCCAGGGGATTTTGACCTTCCCCTACCACGTCATAGTGGATTTATTAAAGTCGAAAGGATACAGAAAGCAGATATCTGCCGTGCAAGTACAAAAATCTCAGGCTGTCAAAAAGATGTGGCGTTGGATCAGAATATATGAGTAACTTATCAAGCCGCAAGCCCGCCTACCCACCTTTGGGAACGAAGAGAAGGGAAATGTCGTAGGAGAAACCCCACCCCCTTTCCTACGTTAACTAAAACGCCCAAAATGGTGATGTGATAATGCCGGTTTGACTGACCTCATTGTGCGGCAGCGTCCACTTGATTTCCGTATCCCCGTTACCGGTGTTGTTGGCATAAGCAATGGTTTGTATGGACTATGCATACCAATGCTATAAAAAACCCCAAGGTATAAGCATTGAGAAATACATCCCGTTAACATCATTTCCCCCTCAGCACACCTCTAAAGTCGCAAAAACTACCGCTATGACCAAAGTCACTGGATACGAATTCTCTACAACTGGAGACGAAGTTGTCTCTCGATTCCAAGACAGTATTAAGGGAAAAACTAGTGAGCATCGCTCATTCGTTCCACCTCCACTACTAGTCCACTGACTTGGATCCATTTCAGTTGTCATCACAGGCCCAGGTCAAGGTGGCATTGGTTCTGAGACAGCAGTGGCGCTTGCTGCAGCAGCTCCAGCTTTACTCATTCTCACTGGTCGCACCGAGTCGAAAATCACTCCGGTTATCTTGGAAATCGAGTCAAAAAATTCAGCCGTCAAGGTCCAGTTCGTCAAACTGGATCTCAGCTCGCAAGCTTCCGTACGCTCCGCTGCGGCAGTGATAAACGAAAGTGTTGAGAAGATCGATATATTGATCAACAATGCAGGAATCATGGCCTGCCCGTATGAAAAAAGCGTAGATGGCATCGAATTGCAATTTGCGACCAATCATATTGGGCACTTCTTGCTAACGAAGCTTGTCATGCAAAAAATTTTGAATGCGGGGCCTGGTTCGAGAATTGTCAATGTATCGAGCGTTGGTCACAGAATGGCAGGGGTCAGATTTGACGATTATAACTTCCAGGTGGGATTATTCACCTTGTTTGCGTAGTATCCGTAACAACATCCTTTTACTAACACCCTCGCGACAGGATGGCAAAGCGTACTCCGAGTGGGAAGCCTATGGCCAATCGAAGACCGCCAATATCTTGTTTACTTACTCCCTCGCCAAAAAGCTGGGGGGCAAAGGTGTCTTTGCTTATTCACTGCATCCCGGGTGTACGTAAATTTTCCATCGTCACCTTTTGGTACTCACGGTCCATACAGCGATCAGGAGTGGTCTTCAAGTTCATCTGAACGAATCTAATCTTCCCAAGGGTTTTGCTCTCCTGGCCGCTGCAGACGCAAAGACGGGACAATCATACGCTCCTGAGCCAGTAAAGACTCTGCAACAGGGGTGTGCGACAACCCTCGTTGCTGCACTTGATCCGTCCCTCGAAGCTCACAATGGTGCGTTTCTCTGGAACTCAGACATTGCGGATCCCTTACCGCCTGCCCACGCTACGAGTGAGGAGAATGCGGAGAAGCTATGGGTTTTGAGCGAGACCTTGGTAGGAGAGAAGTTTGAGTTTGTGATATGAGACAGAGTTGATGCATGCTCTGTACGTGTACTAATATTAAGTTTGAGAACCTTGGATTAGCATGGCTATCGTTCTTGTGTCCAATTAGAATTATTCACAATAAGCACCTCGCTTCTGTCCGATGCTTATCTATGTTGTGGCGCAATGGCTGATTACGAGAACCTCTCGTTCCAATGATTTGCAGCGGCATAACGTGCGTTGCGTCATTGAGCGATGACAATTCACAAGGTCACTTGTCATTGGGTAGAATGAGGTCAGCAAGGGAAACTATTGCAATGCTATACTGAAAATGGCTCATATATAAACGGGATATCCCCCCCGCTATTCTTAAATCCCCCATTTCCCACTCTTACTATCATCCCTTACATTATTACAATGGGCATTCCTGACGAAAAAATCCATCCAGTTGCGACTGGAGTTGCTATCAAGACCGTCGAGAAACATCAAGAACCTCAGGAGCTAGTATTTTACTCAGGATGGGTGTGTGTTTTTGATGCCAATACCTCTATATGCGCGCGACTAATGTCCCACGAACTTCTCAGTTCTGTCCATTCAACCAGCGAACATGGATATCTCTCGAAGAGAAGGGCATCCCTTATCAATACAAGGAAGTGAATCCTTACAAGAAAGAAAAACATTTCCTTGGTGTGTTATCACATTTATTTCTATCCGAACAGTAGTTCTCATAACCTTATACTAGATATCAACCCTAAAGGATTAGTCCCAGCCATTGAATACAGAGGGAAGGCTTTATACGAGTCGATCATCCTTTGCGAGTTTCTGGAGGACGCCTACCCTAGCCACAAGCCTCACCTTCTCCCGGTTGACCCATTTGATCGCGCTCATGCGCGCATTTGGATTGACCATTGCACGAAAACTATAGTCTCAGCAACACACCGTCTTCTCCAATCCCAGGACAAGGAGAGCCAGGACAACGCCCGTGAGGAGCTGTACGCAGCGCAAAGAAAACTTGCTAAAGAGGTCAAAGGCCCCTATTTTAATGGTGAAGAGTTTGGCCTGGTGGATATATGCGTTGCGCCTTGGATTGCGCGCGACTATGTTGTCGCAGAGCACCGTGGATACAAAAGGGAAGATGCGAGCAAAGAATGGAAGGAATACGCTGATAGGCTCTCACAACGTGAAAGTGTGGTAAAGACTATGAGTGTGAGTAGTTGTGGATATACTTACAACACATGTGTTGATTTCTTTGACTGCATCAACAGGAAAGGGAGCACTTGAATGTCATTTACGACCGCTACCTTCGAGATGAAGCTCAAAGCGAAGCTGCCAAGGCCACGAGAGCGGGAAGAGAAATTCCTTGAACAAGTGATCTACATTCTGTTATTGCTCAAGACTTTGTATATGCCATTCCATTATATCATATAATGCATTATGTGTACCAATTGTTGTAAATCTGTGTGTAACATCTTATACAAGTAGTGTTTCTTTATGTTGGCGTATCCTCTTATCAGCACAAATATATGTAAACTTTCGTTTGTCTAATGTTCATGTCAGGACTATAAGCTTGCACTATATTTCTTATGTGCCTAATGTACATATAATGGGACATACGGATAATAAAAAATTATAAGTTACATATTATGCATAACTTGCTATTTAATAAGTTAAGTCTATAAGTAAAATTCCACACTCCTCGCTCATCAACCTACCATCTTCGTGGAACTCACAGGTATGGCAACATCCACCTTGACTGGTCTAGAAACCATAGCACAAGATTCCCCGTCGTCGCAACAGTATCCCTGGACCGCTTGTAGCAACGTCTCCGAACGGGAGAATAAATTCCGCAATGCAAACGCGCATTTAGCTAGTTCCTCATCCACAGAACCAACGTCTGCAGTGATGTTTGCTAGAGGCGAAGTTGAACGAACTTGAAGGTTCTGTAAGGCACAATATCAAAGAGCATCAGCAACTGATACTAAATGGGGAAAAAGAGAAGTTATACTCACGAGCTGTGCGATGTACCACCATAGATAGTCTTTCAGGCTCTCGGCGTTACTCTCCATTACGCCAAGAGTTGAAATGAGCTCACGCATCGTCTCCTTGGTGTATATTTCTGCGCTCTTAGGTGACACGCCCCATGGCCACACAGACACATGATCCCACCATCGTCCGTGCCCCATTGCCGAGTCGACACCATCCGCCTGGGTAGCAGACTCGAACCAAGCGACCATACGCTCGGTTGCACCCTGCGCAGATACAAGCCCAGGAAGGCTGCTGTTTACATGCTTGAAAATGGAAGCATATTCAAGACGAAGGTTTGATGCGGTGAGGGAGAGAATGTGTGCAAGATCTGAGCGTTGACTGGTTTTTGGATTGCGGAGAGCGTGATGTCTGACTTCATGGATCGCGTGTGATAGCTATGAAGGCAAGAGCGGTTTAGCAAGAGTCGCCGTTTCTGAGTTCAAAGCAATACATACCGTCTTTCCAATGAATCCGTGATCAGAGAAATCATGGAACACTACAGTATCGAGACCATCCATCTGTAGGTTAGAGAATGCTTCCAAAGTGCTCGCGAGATCTCTAGAGTTTGAAGGGAAACCAGAATGCTGAAGCTTGCAAGTGATTTTTGCTAGCCTGTGAACAGATACATAAGTTTCGTTTGTTGATACAACAAAGAAATCACACACCTTTCTCTGTTTTCCTGGAAGAAGGCGTCGGCTGGAACACCCATGCTTTCTACGAGCAAGAGTATTGTACTTGCGTGTTCGATTTGCTCGAACAAGAAATGCGCTCCAGCTGCTTCGGTTACATGGGAAGACTCAATTTTTCTGACTGACAATCTCCGAATTATTGGAGTCGTAGTGATTGTCGCTTTTGCAGCCTTGAGGTGACTAATAAGGGGACGGATGATACCTTCATTATTTGTGTTATGCAGCCACTGTAGCTTATCCTTTAGCCAGAGACACAACAAGCATTAACAAAAAGGCTTTACCGAAGGTTCCGACACTCTGATGAGTTCCATCAACACAACCACGATAACAAGCCACTGAAAGGTGGCCACAATAGCACGACATGCGGAGGAGACCATCAAACTCAGCAACTCCATGACGAATCCCACGAGTTGGCCCAGGTTGAAGAGGAATAAGAGAGCATTATCTTCATTCTCAATCTCTTCTGCCGTTCTAAGCCTGCGCTGGGTGGATGATGGACCTCTGTAGACACGGCCCGAGAGTGCCAATGGCTGATACATGCATTTATGGGTCTGAGCACGATGTGCGTGACGAGAAGCCACATGGGCTGGTGAATGGTCAAGAGGAGTTCGCATAGCTAATCTTGACATCGATAGCTTGAGACACAATCACAGATGGTACGGTAGATGGCGACGATAGGATGTTCTTGCAGTATAATTCGTAAGATTGGTCGTGAAAACTGCACCAGTCAGTTTGTCGATATCGATTGCCGTCGAGTGACGAGGTGTCGAATGCATGGTCCAACGTGTATTTAAGCGGGAGGATGCTGGTACCGCGTTGAGCTAGACAAAAGGCAATCATACTGGAGATCACTATTATTGCAGAACACTAATTGTGAATACTGTGATTCCTTAAGGACTAGTGAATCTGGGGTTTCACAGCCAGCGTTCGCCTTTTGTGTTCTCCATAGAGACAGACAGGAGGAATGAGGTGTTTTCTGGCAGACACAATAGGCGTGTCCTCGGTCGTGGTGGCAGCGGTGATAGAAGTTATGGGCATACCCGCCAACTTTGAGCATGCAAAACGCAACATTCGCGGAGTAGCGGAAACAAAATTGCTGCTGTCGTCAAGGAGACCAAAGGAAAACGGCAACATTCCGGAGTTATTACTACAGCCCCTAAAAGCATGTGTGAGTTTCCTGTAATTTCAAGGCAAAAGTGCAGTTGTAGGTATTCGTATGCTTTGTACGGTTGTGTATCACCATAATGTGCGAACTATTTCTTTTGCCCTGGACCACGCCGCATAACACGAAACCGATAAATACTTCAATTCTCTTCTTATGCACAAAATATTTACAAGAAAAACAATCCCATAATTGCAGAGACAAACAACCAACCACTAAACGGAAAGTCCAGATGAACCAAGAAAAACCGTGCTAGTCAATCACTCTGCTTCATGTCCACACTTTAGTTGGTGGTGACGGAAACGCTGTAGCTGTTGATCATGAGCTCAGCAGAACCGGTGAAGGGCTCAGTTCCAGTCTCGATTGATTGGAGGTACTGCCAGAGCGTGCATTATTAATTTATCTGGCCTTCAGACGTCAAAGGAGTACTCACGAGAGAAGAGGAAACACCCTCGTTGTCAATGAGGTAGGCTAGATAGATTACATTAGCCAGTGCAAGAGAAATCATAGACTTAGTGCCTACTGAAGAAGTCGTTGAGGTCGACATCGAAGTCGTTAATGTTTCCATCCTGGCTGACGAACGAGATGGTCTCCCAGTTGGAGTTGGGACCCGTCCAGATGTTCCAGGTGTAACCAGCAAGCGAGACATCAGAGGTGGCGAGAGAGCCGACGGGTTGAATACCACCGAGACCAGAGAGCCAGATCATGCTGCGAAATATTCAATGCACTGTGTTTGATTTGGTGGTCACCTCAACTCACATTTCGTAGGACGAGTCAGCGGAAGCCTGAGCACCATCAGCGGTGGTACCGATCCAGATATCATAGCTATGGCTTGTGTCAGAATAAACAGCGTTTTTCAGCTCAAAAACACGTACGAAACATCAGCACGAATGTCACTAGACTGGGTCACGTAGTCCCAGTCCCAGGCCGTGGGAGCCGTAGCGATGTCACTGAGCTATGTTAGGGGTGAATTCGTTCGTGTTTGTTCAAATTTTATCAGACGACTACTGACCAACATGCCCTTGGCAGTGGTGGACGCGGCATTGGTGTCTTCGGGGACGCGTTAGTAATGCATCAATCCAAGCTAAATAACACGATACTAACAGGTCTTGACATCGTTCTCGTTGTCAGCCCATGCCCAGGTGGTGGACCAGGAGATGTCGTTGCCGGAGGTGCTGATGAGGGTGGCGTTTTGGGAACCAGTCCCGTCAGCTGTTCAATGATATATCAGGACTTGGTTCTTGGCAGCTTGGGAACACGAAGGTTGACTTACCGATACCCCACTGGTTGTTGCAGAGAGTGTAGTCACCCTGAGTCACACAGTCGTATTGACCGGAAAGAGTTGTCTGACCCTTGGCAAGGGCGATGAGACCAGAGACGAATGCGAGTGAGAGGAACATCTTTTGAGATTTGAGTAGTAGCTGTGATTATTGAACCTAAGCTGAGGAAAGCATGTCGTTGTACGCTGACTTTTATACAAGTTCACGACAATCAAAATTGGAACTGGAGAACACACAGGGTTGACAGTCGTCAATGTTCATGTTGCATAGATGCGAGATTCACCCGCACACCAAGTATATTTGCACCTTTCTCATAGCTATTACCGGCTCTTCTGTAGTTAGGTCGGCCACAGTGCCTGCAGTTTGTCACATGTCTGAACCTTGTTATGCCGACAGAGAGTGGATGAGAACATATGAGAAGAGAGTCCTTGTGCGCAAGCTCCACAACGTTGATCCGGGTAAAGAGCCGATTCATTATTGGCATATCCAGGTTCGAGGTAAACAGAACTTGGATATGGCGATCGTGATAGATGCAGAAATTGACAATCCCTTGTTTTCGGCTGGTCAATCAAACTGTCAAGTGAAAATGTCTCACCGACAACCTGCAGATATATTTCCGAGCCTCCACGATTGTATTTTCTGTAGAGTGTGAGGTTATCTTGCTATTATCAGTTCGTGAGGAGCCTGAAAGTAGTGTACTGTGCTATTATGCATCGTGGTGGTCATAGTCATACCCGCGGGTGACAACGCCACCACGCTGGTGTATGTACAAAATATGCCTCAGGTCTCTTTTTTTCCAGGTCCTCGTAGGGTAATTAGTGCTCGCTATATGACTTCATAATGCTACTTGAAAATAGGGGAGGGTGATACATACGACAAGTAAATATGTTCTATAATAGTTAACGTCGCGGGAACAAACCCGTCATAGCTTTAGAGATGGTCCTCCTGCATTCTCCGAATCCGAACGAAGTGGGTTATTTACTAGTTCTTGTTCCTCCATAACAGGTGAGCTCGGTACCGCATTTTCTCGCGACGAGTGCTTGCTTTTATCCGGTGTCACAGACAAAAAATTGACAACGAGTGACCAAAGATTGTTCGCGCTTAACTGGCTATCCTCCTGTAAGACCGCCTGGTCCGCAATGCGAGCCAAACGACGAGCTTCCTCCGTATCTCGCCTCGAGACGATGCTGCTTGGGGGCGGCCTTTCGTCTGCGTCAAGTGCCCACGCCCAACTCCAGCTCCCCGAAGCAGCTTTCAATCCTTCCTTGATGCCCTTGTTCCCGGGCTTACGTTTCTCCTTCCCATCGTCCTTACTCTCGGGCAGTGTTAGTGAACCTTGCAGCTGACTCATGTTCCTGTATATGTCCTTCTTGGCAAGCTCGAGGTTGCGTGAACGTTGTTTTTCTATAGTATTCATCGCGCCCGCGAACTTTTTGTCAAATTTAGTCTTGCCTTCAATGTAGCGTCGCACGGCCAGTTCCGATAGAACTCCGATGATATCCGGAGGAACATGAAATGCATCCAGTTCATTTTCGGCCTCCAGAGGTCGAATGACGCCCCGCGTAGAAACGCGCTCACGAATCATTCCTTCTTTCCATGATGGAACACCCTGATAGGTGATGGGCAAAACAAAAAAAAGTCAAGTCAATACAAGGTCTTCTAACTTTGAACAAGTAAACAGACACATACGTCAGCATCATGGTACACAGTTGCTTCACCAGCATACTGGGGTTCATTGGCACCGGAGGAGGACACACTGCGGCCCCGCGGACCGTCGGGCTCGGAACTGTCTATGGGAGGAACCTCTAATGCGGGAGTGCTCAGTGGGGATGCTCCGAAAGCTGGAGATGATGTGCGTGTTGGATTCCCACGGAAGACGGAAGCTGCGCGAGACATTGACCTCTTCAAGGAGCTCTTGGGGCGAGGAAGCATGACAGAATCAACCGTGTTCTGTCGCACATTCCGACCTCGCTGTACGCGATTGGCAAGGTCTGACATCGAGAGAGCACGGGACAAAAATTTGCTAGAAGATTTCTCGCCAGGGCTTGCCTCTTGGGAATTATTCTGCATAACCTGGGATGGCGTCATATTTAAAAACTGCATCCCGTTCAGTCCTCCAGGACTTTGAGGCCCAGCAGTCATTCCTGTGACATGCTTGCAAAACGTTGCGATCGCTCGGTAACAAAATTTCCCGGGAGTAGTGAAAGAAAATAGAACCGGCAAAACGTGAGCAGTATCTAGAAAGTTCCAATTTAGGTATTTGTTTGGTGAACATGAAACTCGGGGGCTAATCCTACCATCGTAGACCTGCAAGTGAACAGATGTTGGCCCATAACGGCCCTCAATTCCAACAAGAGTAGGACATAGCTCCCGAGCATTGTTACTCAGGGGAAACTTAGATGGATTTGCTGCTTTATGTGCCCTGACGAAAGTCACCTGTCAATACAGAGAATTTCTATGCTTAAAACTTACTTACGTATAAATGATTTCGTCCCTAAGGACCTCCTTGTCACTGGCAATAAAGAGCAAAGGAGGCAGTCCTCCGAGGTAGGAAAGGGCAGAACTGACGAGGGGATGCCCTATCAACCCATTTTGGGCATACAAGTGTATTTGCTGGTCTATGGTCAAAGTCTCACCGGACTTCGTGACTAAACGTATAGTTTGATTCGCTGTTGAATCAGCAGGGGGGAGAGAAGCCGTAGCCCCTATGTCAACTGGCATATCTGAAGGTCCTGACTTCTCTCTATCTTCTGAAAGGCTAAACTTTGAGCCTGCTTTCCATTGAGATGCAATGTCACTCTGTGAATCGATACCCATGTCTTTGCCACCGAGGTCCAATCGAACCATCTGACGAATACGACTTCGCAGTCTTGCATGAACGCGACTAGTCAGTTCATCAGACGGTGGAGGCCACAGGGGGCTAGGTTTTTGCATTGAAAGTCCATATACGGGAATGACATCCTATCAAGCGTGTAAGTTCAGGATCTGGCGTCAGAAGTTGATAACCTTATTTTAGTTACTCACCGTGGCAGTATTGGTGTGAATACTGGGAAATGAGTGCGTTAGATCGCACCACGGGGAAACGAGAACACCTCCAGCGGGCATCGGAAGCCCCGTGTCACGAATGACTTGTAGTAGAGCGAGAGTGAGCCCGCCACCGGCAGAATCTCCTGCAACGACGATATGAGCTGGTTTCACTGGTCGATGTGATGCATCAGGCGGGGGCCTGATCAGGAAAAGGTCTGGAAAGAAACGTCCCGAAGTAAGTCCAGGGATTGGGAGCACTAAATCTTACTTACACGCGGCTAGAAGATCTTGAATCGCACAAGGGAAAGGATACTGTGGGGATAATCGATAGTTTACAGCTATTTTCTGATCAGCAGTGATCGGGATAGCCATATATGAAAAAGTCACTACCTAATACACGGCCATTGATCTTTCTTGCATGACGCTGGATACTGTATCTGATTAGGTGACAAAATTAGACAATGCCGTGTTTTTTGAATGAGATTGCTGACCTCTCTTGATCAATGCTACCAAAATAGTATCCACCTGAAAGGACGACGTCACTTGTGTGCCTGCTTAGAAGAGTAAGAGCGACAAACCTCCGTGAGCATACAGTATACAACGCATCTCATCCATTTCCTCGTTATATGTGTCAGTTCCGTTTGATGGCTCCTCCCCTTCTAAGTCGGTATCACTTTTACCCTTGGGAGAAGGATCGGTGGAAGATTTCTTTTGTTTTTCGTAGGCTTTAGTTCGTTTTTTTGCTTCTCGCCAGTCCTTTCGAGCAGTGATCCATTCTGCATCAACACTGACAGCGACAACTTGAGATTTGCACAAGGATGTCGAGTAAAGGATAATTACCCGCTTACACCACGGACTTGCCACCATTTCGTACCACCTACAATTCGTTTAGCAATATCATCTCCACCGAGTGCTTTGATAAGATAAGCTGCAGCTTCGTCACAGCAAGAGATTGGGACAAGTAGTCTGACAGAATGAACCCAGGGAGGTGAAGGTGTTCGGGTGTTGGAAAAAGCCTGCACTTCTTCTACGGTGTGACTACCACTGCGTTAACGTCTGAATATGATACGTGAAAAACGACATACTACGATGCAGCGTCAAGAAATTTCTGAAGACACAGAAAGAGCTTCAATAACCAGACTGAATCAGAAGAGGGATGGATCTGCACCTTTACAATGTTGAAAGCCTCGTCATACAAGAGCTCGTCCTGTCGCAACTGAGTTACAGCCTTTCCGCCATGCACACTCTCCTTTCTGATTCTGTCAAAGTAGTGCTTAACCAGAGTTTCTAAGACGATGGGACCGAGCTTCAGTCCAGCTTTCCGGGTAAGAGAATTTGGCATCCTGGGACTCTCTCTGTGCACATACGACGTCGGTTATAGTACAACTGATATTATAGGCGGAGTGACAGCGACTTGATAGATAGAAAGGAACGTCGTAAGGGCTTCAATGTATTATGTTGGATATTCCGTTACCGAAATACACAGGATTCTGGAAAAGCGAGATAAGCGTATCCCAAGAAAAATTGCGCTTGTAAGTTGGCCGTCCTCAAGGATTGTACATGCTCGTGATGGTCAAAACGATGGCGAGGAGGATAAGAAAGTCTAATGAGCCTGGATCATTGCCCCGCACTTGCAATCACCCTACCACGCGTTTACTCTGGCGCTGGATTGCATCCGGAACAAGGGCCACTCTCGATGCCGCGGCAGGCGCCAAGGCGCAATATCAGTCTGTACCGCCCGCGTTGCGTAAGTCAAAAAAGCTTTCAGCATAACAATGATGCTGAGACTGACATCGAAAGAAATTGCCTGATCCTGAGGCAACGTACTCCCAAACACCACGAACTTTCCCAAAAACTTTTACTAGTAGGACGGAGACGCCCTGTGCCATTGACATGGAGACCATGATATTACACTGTCATGTCACCCTGACAAAGGAAGGGGCTATATCCAATGCGTCGATGTCAAACCAAGTAACAGTATGGGCCAAGTATGGGCCTGTAGTTATGAGTCGAAATGCAAGAGGATGTTGCAAACGGTCAGATGCTCCGGTTCTGTTTAGTAACGCCCATTGGCATCGCATATAGATCATAGATGCCATCGATTGATTCTTGTGTGTCTTCTTCTGTGCATCTACTCTCTTATCTCTTGATCACTGTTGTATTTGCAGGTAAGTTCCATCTCGTTGGACTGGATCTCTTGTGGTGCTTCGTTCCACTAGAATACGCAAACAATCATTATTATGATACTCCATAATCTAACTCCAGCATTCTTCCAGTCAAGGAAGTACAATATATAAACCAGCAGAAGTTGGAGTACAAGGAGCCTCTCAGTCGCTATATTCAACTGGATTTTCGAACCTTCGCCCAGCTACTCCCCCCCACCCCACGTATATTTGGCACTTGAAGCTTGAAGGCTGGAGGCCAACACCAACCATGCATTCCCCGATCAAAATACAGGACCTTACTGGTAAGGTCGTGAAAAGTGAGAAAAATCCCTTTGGACGGGGAGGTTTTGCCCAAGTTTTCAAAGGCGAATATACGAAGGACTCAGTGTCACCTCCCATAGTGGTCAGTTATTGTTCAATTGTCGCTCAGGCTGTTTCTGACCTTCAACTATCAGGTGGCGATCAAGGTCTTACGGCCCTCATATGACGTCGCTGAAACGAATAAGCTTAACGCGGTAGGGATCCTTCTCATCCTACCACTCTAATGGCCACCCAACCCACCGTATAGAAATTGTTACGTGAAGGCCGAGTCTGGAGTGCACTGAAGCACCCGAACATAACACCTTTCTATGGTGTTTGCTATGATCTGGGGATACTGTCCACTCCGTGCCTTGTATGCCCTTACTATAAGAATGGCAGTGTACCGGAATACCTCAGAGTCAACCCAGCAGCTGATAGGATGGAATTAGTACGCATTCTCCATCACTTGGCGCTACGCCTGGCTTAACTTAAACGCTGTGCAGACATGCCAGCTTGCAACAGGATTAGCTTATCTACATAGTCAGCACCCTTCCATTATACATGCGGATATTAAGGCGGTGAGTGGTCAGCTGTGTACGATGAGTAAACATGATGTTCAAATGTCTCCACAGGCTAACGTTCTTGTCAATGATCGATATGAGGCCTGTCTTGCTGATTTTGGCCTATCACGAATGCTAGAAACCTCTGGGTTTACGACAACTACCATTGGGGGGACTTCTCGATGGATGGCGCATGAATTGATCATTCTTCCTGACGACTACGATGATACGGAACAAAACACTAGCCTTTTGTACACGACAGCTACCGACGTTTGGGCCTTTGCCATGACAGTTCTTGAGGTACCGTCTCTTCTTGAACCTTACTCGTCACGATTTTCATTATCCCCTTGTCAGATTCTCACGAGTAGGATACCGTTTGTCCATCTCCAAAGTGAGGTCGCCGTGATTCTTGCGATCAAGCGGGGAGGTCGACCTTTGCACGAATCATATCCTGAAATTAGGGACAGCATTTGGTCGATGTTGGTAAAATGTTGGGAAACAGAGCCAGGCCGCCGGCCGTCCATGAACGAGCTCTCACAATTCTTGCATCATAAACTGGCCAAGGAACGGTTGAACAGAAATCACTGATGTGGTATACATCCGACTTGCTCGATGACTGTCCATTTTTTGAAATGCTGTATGGGGGAACTTGAGAGATTGGTCTCTGCTATTTGTAGTATGAATGACCATCTTAAAGGAATGTTGGATTTGGAAAAACATACACCCGGATACCCACAGCCCGACGTCACGTAGATAATACCATATAAATATGCAATGTATCTTGTATGTCGGCGCCATTTATACCATACAGTTTCAACAATATCATCCTTTTGGTCAGCTTCCAGGTGCTATGACCGTGAAGGTGATCCATGATCCACACAAGGGACATCGAACACGCAAGTGAGAAAATAGTAATATATAGTTCTAGTACATACTAGTAAACATCATAGTTTTGACTTTACGCCAACCTTGTAACCCTCGTCTTCCAGTAGTATCTTGGCTAATTTACCCACAAGGTGGAACAATTGCAAATGCACATAAGCTTGTTCGGAGCTTGCCTGTCTCCGAGCATATCGCGCCGCAATGCCCTGCGAAACCACTGCGAGCTACAAAGCAAGTTAGCATCCAGCGGTAGCGAAACAAAATGTATCCAATGAAAAGACATACTCGGAAGAGCATCCAACTTCTGGCAAACACCATCTCCGTGATTGGGTATGGTTGATTAGTGAGACGGCAGTATTCACGCTCAATAACATCTAGCTGTACTGGAACTTCGAAAGTTGTGTTCCTGAATCCTTTGATGAGCTTGTACTGGGAGTAAATGGCATTTGTAGGCACGTTCTTGGCTTCGACTGCCCAAGGTTGTGTGAAGTTTGCTAGGTCCCCTAGCTGATACGCGGGCAGCTTGAATTAAAATATGCCTGAAAGGGAACAAGGATGTGACTAACCGGGCTACCCAAAGTACACAACTCCCAATCCAATATCGCAATTACACGATTCTCCGTGGGGTGAAACATTATGTTATCCAATTTGTAATCGCCATGGACGATACGAAGACCTGTCTTCCTCTCGTCTGGCAAGTTCTGCCTGTACCATTCTGCCAGTTCATCAAAGAAAGGTATGTTTCCGACCACCTCTCCGGTTTCTACGTCAGCCACCTTTGATTGCGCAATTGCTACACGAGTGAGGGACCGGAGCTGTCGGGGGAAATAGTCACTGGATGGGCCGAAGTTGGAAAGTCCGACGTTGGCAGGAACAAGATTGTGGAGAGCTGCGAGAGCGCGGATCGCAGAAAGCCAGCTGAAAATAAGTATGTAAACAAGACACAAGAACAACGAGACAAATCAATATACCATTCTTTTCGCACTTGAGGTGATACCTCCAACATTCTGCTATCAGTGAATATTCTTCCTTCTAGGTATTGCATGATGTAAAATGGGGTGCCGACGATATTGCAATCTTCACATATCGCAAATGGTTCTGGGACAGGGACAATTTGCTTTGGAGTGGTCGAGGGATTCAAATTATGTTTGTGCAGAGCAGTAAGCATTCTATATTCCCGTTCTATTTGATGTGCTGTTGAAGTGACAAGCTGACCAGCAGGCTTCTTGCGTAATACGAATCGCTTTTGTCTGCAATGACAGCGTTAAACTGGTGTAGAAATCATGTCGTGTGAAGGGTCGCATACCTCGCATCCGTCAAGAAGTAGGTAGGATTGGACTAGCGAACACATCATCGAAGCGCACGGTGGTAAAGATAATGTATGATTCATACCTGACCAAACTAATGCAGTCTGTTAGTTGATAATACGCAGAAAGACATGTCACACGCACTTTGAACTGCTTCACATCAACTGGAGCTGTTACCGCTGGGACATGCTCCGCGAGATAGGCGTTTAGTTTGTCGATGTCGATGTTAGCACGAACGGCGCCGTACTCTCCTCCAATTTTCTTGGGCTTGCATGCAGACATCCTATTAATTATGAAAATAAAAGAGCAGAAAGGTAACACTGAGGTAAATGATAAAGCCTTGAAGATTCCTGACTTACCTTTTGGTCTGTTAAATGCGCCAGTGCCAGTGAGTGATCGTGATATATTGGGCAGTCCGGTGCTAGTTGTAGTAAGGTCCGAGTCCTGGGCGAGCCGGTGTTGAGTTGCCCGGTAACCGATACCCTTCGCTAAACATTATCATTACCTCGGCTCTAGCAAAAGTCAATGTTTTGTTGATGGACTCTGAGGTAACACAGGAACCGTGGTTTCGGGATCGCTCTCGTCTTCATCCTTTCACACTCATCGGACAGCTTAGCGTGTGGATCTTTGCTTGACAAACATCATGATCGCCAGTGCTAATAGATCTTCAGACAGGTGGCGCATCATCCTCAGCTTTGTTTCCGTGGGTCGAAGATTCTCTCAGTACTTTGTGGCAAGGGCATCTGGACGATAATAACTTGAAGAATGACTGGATGGAAATGGTTCACGCGTGGTCTGGGGCACTTGCTATCGGTACCAAGGGCGCATTAAATGTAGTTTCGGTGTCTCGATCCGCAAAGAGTTTTCGTGTCAGCTTGCCAGTGGTACGGTGAATTTCATTTGTGCCAAATGTCCTGGAAGTGATGGGTCTGTAATTGCAGCACGGTCCCGGTGATCATACTGTGCGCAGCATTGCATGGGCTTTGCTTCACAGCGTACCTTTTGAACCGCTGATCCTCATGTCCTCCGAAAGCGTACTTTACATTGTGAATGCCACTCGAGCCCATGTAGCTGGATATATTCGTGGGCATGGCGGCGTGAGTCACGCAATCAGCTTCTACCTTCCCCTGAAACGCTCAATACCCTTTCCTAAGTTTAGTTGATAACGTCGATCGCAGTCCATCCAACGCTTCCTCATATGGTCTGCACAACGTCGAGGGATTTCACCGCTCGAATTTACGATCTCACACAATCTCCAGATCAAGGGATTAATCATATACCTGGGTCGCACAAAGCAACCGATCGTTTATATGGAGCACCTCATGGCTTAAGAATGGTAGAATCTGAGGGCAAAGGGATTGGTAGGTGCACTGTGGTTCTTATGGGAAGTGAATCTGGAGGGCATGCATCTTCAGTCCTCGGCGCTGTGAGTTGAAACATCATAAGCCGGCATTCATTTCTTACTGTGTCACACTTTCGCGTCTAAGGCTTTCCATCCCTCTCTGCCACTGATTGCTACTTGTGGGGTATGTCCCTTGTGGCACTACCTATGCGTGACCAGCTAAAGTAAGCTCCTCAGCTGGATCATGCTGTCAAAATCTGGCGTCTTCCACTTTCCGTCGATGAAAAGCAGCATAGGGAAGACAGGCCCGTCTTCAGTAGTAGTCGAATTCACAAATCTCGGGTTTTGTCCGTGGCTTGGTCGGTCTCTTGCTAAAATAACGGTCCTGTGGCACTGAAGGTGTGTTTTAGGCTAGATCAGGATATCCTGCTTACACACAGTGCGCCTGTCTTGGTGCGAGAGGAGATCGGTGAATCAGTAGAGTTTCATTATGAAGATGGAATAATGGCCGTTTGGTGCTGGCTAGGGCTCGATCGTTACCTGCCCCCGGGTCAGCCTTGGAGCGAGAAATCTGTTCCAGGTTGCAAATCGGTGAGTTTCATTACAGGTTCATGTAATTTTATTGTAATATTCTCCATAGGATTATCGAGATAGTTGTGCGTTATATATCAAAACTGTTATATTGTGCCAAGCTCATATTAATTACTACAGTTTCGTTCAAAATGCTGGCAAGTGCTTCTCTTCCTCAAGAAACACGCGATCTCCGTGTTTATCGGATGCCCACTCGTGATCCCCTGGTGATAATCTCACTACCGAGCTCAATTCGACTAGTCAATGTCATTCATCTTCCAAAACGCAAAGTCCAACCCTTTCCTCTCGATAAGGATGTACTGGCTGAAGCCACAGCACGTCAACTCGACGACGGGGAGGAGGATGAGGTTGTTTCTGTGATGGGCGCACAGAACAGCAAGCCTGCAATGGTTGAAGGCTGGGAGATCAGGGTTCCGAATTTCACCCTCGAATCGCCACAGCAAGTGCAGCACTCGATAATGGGTTTGAATGGGTCCCTCCTTGTTGCAGCTGGTTCCAAGGGAACTGTTTGGTTTTGGCAGACGAAATGATCACCATACTTCGATGTCAACATGGACCTATAACCATTCTCACATATAAAGGTCCAACATTCAGTTAACACGTGGGTCGATCATGACACTTGATACTTACCATTTACTATCTTGTTTTACTCTACATTGTCTTGATATCTTAGGCCAAGTGTATAACAAAAATTCACTTCTCCCCTGGCTGGCAGAGCTAAGGGTTTTTTTTTTTTTTAAATGGCCCGTTGCATGCTGTTGTAACTTTACAAGTCAATATGCTTATATTCACCGCTACTTTTTCGTCGACACAACTTCGTCTTGAGTAAGAAATAGGTAAACACATCACAGTAAGATGTTCTAAAGAAAAACAACGATAAAGTAAAGAAGTCGTGCAGGCTGACTCGAACCTGCAGCTTGCGGATATGCGGCGTTCCGGAAAATTCCACCAGCCGAAGCGAGCCGAGATTTTTTTTACGGACGCAGTAATGATTATATAAGATTACGCGGCATAAAATTTTGGTACAAGTTCTCCCTTTCCCCACTTCTCATTCTTCATCCACCATGTTCACTGTCGCTCGCTCCATTCGTGCATGCGCTTCTCGCTCAGGCAACTATGCCGTGCGTATCATGCTTAACTGGCTTCATAGCACTACTTACATTACTCTGCTTGACAGGGCATTCCACGGTCGTTAATCGCGAGGAATATGAACTCCAAAGTCAATGGTGCGCACTATATCCATTCCAACAGGCCTCTTTCATTGCTCATCATACTCCATTATAGGCCCAGTTGTTGGCATTGATCTAGGAACCACAAACTCGTGTGTATCGGTCATGGAAGGGAAATCGTCTCGGGTCATTGAGAACTCAGAAGGTGCACGGACGACACCTTCTGTTGTTGCTTTCACCAAGCATGGAGAGCGATTAGTCGGTCTACCAGCGAAGCGTCAGGCTGTTGTCAACTCGGCAAACACAGTCTTCGCCTTCAAACGTTTGATCGGTCGTCAGTTCAAGGACAAAGAAGTTCAGGACGACATGAAGCATTGGTGCGTCTTCCTATAAGAGAAGTAGAAGTGCAAGTTTCTCAATAATGCCCTCTTCCCGTAGGCCATTCCAAATCGTTGCTAAGGGTGATGGACGACCTGCAGTCGAAGTAGACAATGGTGGAAAGAAGCAGCAATTTGTGAGTTACAGCAGAATTGGCCATGAATGCGCGCCTAACTGTTGTTGTAGTCTTCGGAAGAGTTGTCTTCCATGGTTTTGACGAAGATGAGGGAAACAGCAGAACAATTCCTGAACAAAAAAGTCAAGTAAGTATTTTTGTGAAGGGTGTTCAATTTGTCTTACTGAATGTTGTCTAATCCTGTTTAGCCACGCTGTCATTACTGTTCCCGCTTACTTCAATGATGCTCAACGGCAGGCAACCAAGGATGCCGGGCAGATTGCTGGTTTGGATGTTCTTCGTGTCATCAACGAGCCTACTGCTGCTGCTCTTGCGTACGGTCTTGATCGCGTTGAGTCGTCAGTAATAGCCGTCTATGATCTCGGCGGTGGTACGTTCGATATTTCCATTCTGGAGATGCAGAAGGGTGTATTCGAAGTGAAGTCCACCAATGGTGACACGCACCTTGGTGGTGAAGACTTCGATATTGTCCTTGTCGATTATATCCTGAATGAGTTCAAAAAGGAGAGTGGGATCGACCTAAGTGGAGATCGTATGGCCATCCAGCGTATACGTGAAGCAGCTGAAAAGGCCAAGATTGAATTGTCGTCAACTTCGCAGACAGAGATCAACTTGCCTTTCATCACTGCCGACGCCTCAGGACCCAAACACATCAACTCCAAACTCATGCGTTCGCAATTCGAGTCCTTGGTTGCTCCCTTGATTCAGCGCACAGTTGACCCATGTAGGAAAGCCCTCAACGACGCAGGTGTTAAGGCCAACGAAATCAACGAGGTCATTTTGGTTGGTGGTATGACACGTATGCCTCGCGTATCGGAAACCGTCAAGAGCATTTTCGGCCGCGAGCCTAGCAAGGGTGTGAACCCTGATGAGGCTGTGGCTATCGGTGCTTCTATTCAGGGTGGTGTATTGGCCGGCAATGTTACGGATATTCTCCTACTCGACGTTACGCCTCTGTCGCTTGGTATGTCCGTTATGGTTAACCTCGGGAAATAGTGCTCACATAATTCACAGGTATCGAAACTCTCGGTGGCATCATGACCAAGCTTATTAGCCGTAATACCACAATCCCTACCAAGAAATCCCAGGTTTTCTCTACGGCTGCGGATGGTCAGACTGCTATCGAAGTTAAGATTTATCAAGGTGAACGTGAACTCGTTCGTGACAACAAGTTGTTGGGCAACTTCAACCTCGTTGGTATTCCCCCTGCCCCCAAGGGTGTGCCCCAAATCGAGATTACTTTCGACATTGACGCTGGTTTGTTACTTTCAATATATGTTGCCTCCAGCGTGGCTGATATAATATCTGATAGATGGTATTGTGAATGTATCAGCTAAGGACAAGGCAACTAACAAAGATCAGTCCATGACTATTGCATCCTCTTCTGGTCTTAGCGACAAGGACATTGAGAAGATGGTCTCTGACGCTGAGCAATATGCCGAGTCTGACAAGTCTCGCAAGACCCTAATTGAGGAAGCTAACAAGGCTGACTCCGTGTGCTCGGATACTGAAAAGGGTAAGTTCCATTTTCTAGCGTCTGGTTGGCTGTTGTCTCATATCCTATAATAGCCATGAACGAGTTCAAGGACCAACTCGATGCTACGGAGAAAGACAAGGTTACCAAGCTGGTCGGTGAGCTCCGTGAGTTGGCTGTTAAGGGACAAGCTGCGGATCCTTCGATCACTTCGGACGCCATCCGGGAAAAGATCAACGAGACACAGCAGGCATCATTGGGCCTTTTCCAGAAGGTATGTTCATGTTTGTGTCGTGTTACGTGTTCCTCGAGTTAAACTTTATTGTGCAATCAAGGTCTACGAGAAGAGGAACGCTGAGAACAACACCTCATCAGAAAGCACCGAGAACAAGGAGGAGAAGAAGGATTAATTGCGCTTTGTTCTCCCTTTTCTCTCTGTCTTGTCATTTCTTTGCATGCTCCCATCACGTTTCCTTACCCTTACTTGCATGGTCGCCACACGTTTTGCACCCCTCACGCCATAGATTTTTGCGAAAAGTACAGCTCACATACACATATATTCTATTATCTCCTGGTTTCACCTTGTCCTAGTCTGCCCCGCTTTTATTTGTTATACTTACGTATTCGTGGCATCCACCCCTCCCAACTCCGTAGCTCTCTTTTCATGCTGTGTACCTAATTCATAGGGATTTGATTACGAGTAATGTATCACACGCACAACAGGAACATATCGGGTGAGTGAGATAACGTTGTCCTCTTGAAGGAATATGTACGGTATTCTGGTCAAGCCTCTGCGTCAGTCACAGCGATGGTGGACAGTGGGCTTTCGTGTGTATGTTATTGGCGGTCATCTTATGCATAACAACGTAGAGGGTGAGTGATGTCCAGTTGCATTTGACAGTTCACTCGAGATATCACTGAGTTAGAAAACTTTTGGCGACATTGATTTGCAATTCGGTAACATAACGGTGGTGTTTTCAACTACGCACATATGTGGTGTGCACGGGCACGTTGCTGCTGGCTCCTGCCGCCGATTGTCAAGGAGTGAGTATATCAGGAAAAACCTTATGATCCCAACTCTCTTTATCGCGTCGTTGTAGGATGATAAGTGGTCCAGGTCTGGTAAAGACTAGGATGGGGCCAGTTAAGTATACCCGTGGCACACGTTCCAGGGGCTACAGATAGCCATTTCCTCCCTTGGATGGGCCGCAATCCGTCCTCGAGGACTTGACATATCTTTTATTGGATTATTCATACTGTCGGCTTATCCTTAAAGAAAACCCTAGTTCCATATCATTGCGTAGTTCGTGTGACCCGGCATTATGATGATTAATCCCCTAAGTTCTATCACGCCCGCCATTCCTGAACGTGTTGTGCCAGTGCCGAGAAGCACAATGAGGAAGCTGCTCAGAAATGGTCGACATGCCGATATGATCATCATCAATCAGCTCAGGAGATTTCTTCATTTGATCGCTGTTAGTCTAGTCTTGGTCATTTACCTCACAGACGCGTTCATTAATGATGGTGCATCCTCATTGTCATAGGGTACGGAGAAGTCACCTCGGAGCGAGGTCTTATACTGCATATGTAACGTGAGGAAATACCGTGCTGGCCGTATCTATCTCCTGTCTCTTCCGTCATTCTGGTATAAAAATGCGAAAAAAAGTCTCTACCAGCTATTCAAGCCCTCCAGCTTCCGAGCGAACTTTCCTCGCCTTGACAATGGCCCCAAAACTCTTCGCCAGCTCACAAGCAAAGTTAGATCAATACATACACTCATTCACAGTCTTCTGCCGAACTCAGGCCTTCGACTTAGACTCGCAGAGTTTCAACTTCGAGCGCACTCACAGGAGAGCTGAAAGCAATTGTCATGTCATTGAGAGCACTTCTGGTCCTGCCCAGACCAACACGGAGTTAGGAAGCGCGGTACTGACGGTACCCAAGCTTCATGTCGAGAGGAAGGACACGTATATCTGCAAAGGGGGTGTCGATGCCCGTCGCCTGCTGAGTCTCACTCGGCAGAGCTTGTACCTGTCAGCGAAGAACTTGGGCGGTACCGTATTGGTTGATGAAAGGTGAGCATTCGTATCGTTTTCATGCTCTGTGGACGACGTTGAACTAACGCGTATGTTGCGTTGTAGTTGGGATTGCAGGATTATTTACCCGAAATTGGAAGGGAAATCTCGGAAGCCAGATCAATACAAAGTGAAGGTACGCCACCATTGTTGTGCTCTGCATTTTTTTTTTCAGATACTGACTGTGACTTTGGCTCGTAGATTCATTACTTCGCGAGCGTTGCACGGTCACGGTGGCCTGATGCAAAGAAACCCGTCCGGCTCGAGGCAGTAAAAGGCGTCAGAGGTTTGATGACCGTACTGGATCGACAATGAAAGCATGGCAATGCTTAGACCACATCACTGGTCCTTCTCGTCTTTCATTATTTTTTTCCTTCAGGGTTTTAGGTTGGGTGTATCCATACGAGTGCGCCAGGGTCCATACCTGGAAAAGTACAGTACACGTTAGTCACGGGAGATTCATAATACGGGGAAAGAAACCAAAATTGTAACAGTAGAATAACTAGATTCAATGTATCATTACACACCATAGAGTCACAATTGTACAATATCACTTACGACACATCTACACAATAAACCAAAAGAAATCATCAACTTGATTACTGGAGTGTGCATTCTTTGAAAGCCGTGCAAAGCTGAGCGAATCGCGTTATGGATCTTGGGGCACTGAAACCGCAAATCGCTTGGTTCATTACGACGAAGAAGATTCAGCAATCCCACATAGCCAAACGTCATACCATCCCTTCCAGAGGATGCAAAGGCGAGTGTTCACCATGACCTTGGTATTTATTCCCAGACATCTTTACAATGACTCCTAGTATAGGGGAGTACGATATGCCAGGAGGTAAGCCAACAGACGAGTCTTCAAACACCAACGGGAAACGCGACTCTGTGGGCATTAGGGTTCATGAACCACCCAGATGCTTGCAGCACTCTCAGGGCCCTTCAAGCAGAGAAGAGATCGCTGAGCTAGTACGCGTAAGTCCCACAAAGTTGAGCAGCTTGTAACAGCGCTCGGATACCGAGGACGAAGTCATCACGTGCCTAAGTGTTTGAACTGCTCGGAACACAACATAAACTTCTGGTAATGCAAATAGCATTATCCTAGAGAAAGTGAGAACGCACTTAGTTGAGTTCCTATCAAAACAGCAGGAACAGCCCAGATATCAGGTGAATCTGGTACAACATCCGTTGCTGACGTGCGTTTCACATAGAAGGAGGTAAAGCGTTATCAATAGTTGGCGTTTGGTCGCCGGCTTTCCAAACACGAAGCACACACGAGGCCAGAAAGACGTTCCGCGTGCACCGTATCGCATGTCTGCGCAATACGCCGATTTGATTTGAGAAAGAAGTGAGGAAAGAATGCATATAGTGACATGAGATTGTGATTGTGGCTGTAGACCTAGAGTTCAAGCCAACGTTTTCGACAAGATACCATTTTCGAGCGAACGGGCACACCTGCAGTTCTGAAACTGCGCTCGGCGATTGAATCAACTTCACACGTTTCAAATAATAATCCTGCGGACCAGTCGAACTAGTTGAATTATCTGTTCTGGGAAAGATACTATCGACGAGATGATTACTTGAATGTTTATCTTGAGATCCATGAGAAGAACTGTATGCCAAACCACTAGAAATTAGCATTCGATAGCCAGTGAGATACGGCCCCTCTTAGAGAAAAGAGATCGGACAAGAGGGGGGAAGAACTGAAGCTCCAAGATGGACGGGGAACACGAACGGAGAGAATGATGATGGGCACAGACAAGTCACTGTGTGAATGAAAGGTGGCTGGAGAGGACACTGCAAACTGCCGGAGTCCAGCTGTGTTTGGTTCTCCGCGACCATTGCAGCGGCAGCCATTCGCAAAAGTCACTGTACGGACAAGTCGCGGTTCACTGGCAAGTGTCATGCATGACTTACTATTGCTTCGTATTCTCCTCTTGTCTTGTTCATGAACACTTCACTATACAATCTCATCACATTGTCGCACAGTAAAGGAAGGCTTCTGTCAGAGCACGGCTACAAGATGTGTAACTGCGACCGGACTGTAATTTCCAGACCAACCATCTGGCTTCGCAGATCTCCTGATATGCCTCAGTGGCTGCGGTCTGGTGGTTCCTGTATAGGTTTTTGTTGATCTTTGCGGGTGCCTTCCCTATACCGCATGTCCTGCCGCATGCACCAGTACAGGTGAATGTGCTGGAAACCGAAAGTCCTGGAATGGGCATTTGAATTGAAGCGGGGAAAGGCTCTTCCGAATCCGTCTTGGGTTCTCCGCATTTCATTCTTACCGTCTTTCAACCGCATTGCACGTCCTAGGTTCCACCTAGGTCCTACTCTGCCCAGACCGTTATCCCCCAATTACGAGGTGGTGAACAGTTGACTCCAAGTCCATTTTCAAAACCACCTACACCACGGCCTCCAGCAACAACGATCAAAATGTCATCCACTCCAAGGCTCGCCCCTCGTCCTATTAATCCGCGTCATGATCAACCAGCCAGTCTACACTCAGGGAAAATACCCGTGGAATGGAGCTACTATGTTAGTCATCGTCTTGAAATATCATCATCGTTGCTTACGTTCTGGTATCTGATGTTCGAAATTATGGATGTGCATCCATCGTACTGGTGTACACCAAAATATTGTATCTCCTTGTTCTTCCTGGGAATGCGCCATGCGACCTTACGCCATGCAGCATCAGCCCCACTCTATTTCTGAATTTTCCAACGGCAGCACGCCGTCTCTTGGAAACCAACTTCCATCTCTTTCCAGTACGCCCACCATGAACCAATCCATGGTCAATCTTGCACATAGTTTACGGACGAGTTCTCCTCACAAACGTTCCGAAGTTGATGCATCATCATCGACTCCATCAGCTGCAGTAGCGCCAGATAGGCGCAATTTGAAGATGAACGCTGGTGATTTTATGCCAGGCACACAATCTTCGAAAGTGACTGTCAAGAATCAGGACGGTAGTGTGTTGAAGCTAGAAACGTTGAAGAAGAGGAGTCTGGAGGAGGCCATAGAGAAGCTTGAAAGGGAGGCGAGAGACCAAGCTAAGCTTGAGAAGGAGGCTAGTGACTTTAGACCTTCTGAAAGCCAAGAAACGCTTAGGAGGTTCGAGGGTGATGGTACAAGTGAGGATGTTATCGCACCGCCTATGTCTGGCGATGGCGATACTACTCCCAAGAGACCCGGAAAGAAAGATCATTTGAGGATAGATACTTCCACACCACCGCCAACCACCGTCAGAGGACGACCCTACCCTCTTGATCTTGCTATTTCCAGGAAGGATACTTCAGGCCCTCGGCCTTCAGTATTTTCGGCTGCCAACTTCATTGAAGATCTTGACCAAATCAAGTACCCCGATGGTATCAAATTTCCGAAAGTAGAGGATGGTAAATTCAGGTGAAAACAGATCACGTCTGATTAATAAAGTATTTCTTGACACACAATTATACTTTCAGATATGATCGCGATTTCCTCCTACAATTCATGACCGTATGCAAAGAGAAACCAGATATGCCATCTCTCGAGACTATGGGTCTCGAGCCTGTTGATGAAACCTCATTCGAGATGACTCCTCGCGATCCTAGGCGTCAGCAGCCTCCTCCAGGCTCCGTGGCTCTCGCTGATTCGATTCACCAGAGCTCCGTTGACCTTGGCACTAGTTCGAGAAACAAGCCTCTAATCAGCCGTCAATCTTCACCTTCAATCAATATCACCACGCCTAGTAACAAACATATAAATGAGAAGAAATTCAGCGCCCCTCCTGGCGCTGGGTCCCTAGGTTTACAGATTGATAATCTATTCACAAACGGGTTCCAGAGTGGACTCGGGGGACAGCAAGTAGGCGGTGGTTCTACACGAAAGAAGAGGGGTAAGAAGAGGAATCCGATCAACATGGAGATACCACAGGCACTACCCGAATCTCAGGTAACTCTACAAAAGCCCGGCACGTCAACTTTGGTCGCTGCCCCGATCAAACCAGCGGTCCTTCTCGAAATATCTGCGTATAGCTGGGGTGCTACAAACAAGGCGCGCAAGGCTCGGTTAGGTATGGGCTTGTTCGACAGTGGATGCAGAAGCGTGAGGGCCCTATTAAACAAGCTAACGCTTGATAACTTCGAGGCGATTTCGAATCAGATCGTCGCAAAGGCCAACGGGAACGAGCTGGAGGATGGACGTACCCTAGTTCAGATCATCCGTCTTATTTTTGAACAGGTTGTTCGCTCGACCAAGCGGTGCAATATGTATGCGCGCCTTTGTCAAAAGTTGATCGAACAGATTAGCTTGGAGGTGCAGGACGAGTCCACTGAGGACGGCAAGGGGAAGCCCTTTGCTGGTAGTCGTCTGTTCAAGAAATTATTGCTTATTCATTGTTGGGAGTATTTTGAGCAGATAGACGACGCGAGTAAGATGGAGATTATGGTGAAGAATAAAAAAGGTAAAACGGCCAAGGCAGTACAGGAGAATAAAAGTGGTGGGAGTGAAAGAGAGTTCAGCTTTGATGATGCCCGAAAGGGAAAATGTCAGGACCTAGCTTTCATCGAATTCATCGGTGAGCTGTTCAAGCTCCAGATGCTTGGGGAGCGGATTATGCACGATTGCGTAAAGAGGCTGTTAGGGAACATGGAGAACCCCGAAGAAGAAGAAATCGAGAGATTGTGCAAACTTCTCAATACGGCTGGCCAAAGCATGGATACATCTAAAGCATGCGCACACCTAGATGTGTACTTTGCGAGATTAAAGGAGCTTAGGAAAAGTCCGGATGCCAACGCACGCACGCAATTCATGATCCAGGTCAGCAGCATTTAGTTTCCATGACACTTTACGGCCAAATGACAAGTGCTCCTCCTAGGACCTCGTTGAATTACGAGAGCGTAAATGGGTAACTCGCGACGCTCTAGCTGCTCCAGTGGCAGCTCTTGCGGTTCGAGGGCGGGTGAGTCACTCGCTAAGTTATGCCTTAGCATTACCCCCTGACCGTACTTTCTATCAGACTGCAAAGAAGAAAGCTCCAGAAAAGGGCTCGTATCGAGCTCAACTGGACGCGTCTTCGGGCGGTTCATGCAGAAGTGAAAGTGACACTAAAACGGGCCCTGAATTGGGGACTGCAGGTAGCCTGGGTCCCTCGAGACCATCCGGGAAAGCGAACGATCTATCCTACTTTGGTAGGATCAACAAAGCCATGCCAGGGACGTTCGGGCCTAGTAGTATATTCGCTGGCAAGAAAGAGCTTGGACGGCGTGGGTCACTGTCGCAGACGAACTCTAGTTCAAATATGTTTGCGATACTGAGCCAGAACCCGGAATCTGCAGCCGAAGCAGCCGCTGTGAAACCTAGTCGACCACCGAGCCGCGAGACCAACGTGGAGGTTAACCGGTCTGGTTTAACAGAGCAACCTATTAAAAGGAAGAAGTTACAGCTGCTCCCTCGGTCGAAGGCTACAGTCAAAGAGTCTTCACCTGCAGTCATAAATGGAGACAATCACTACGAAAACATTGTAGGTGATGGTTCCTCGATGACGGAGAAAGAATCACAGAAGAAAATAGACGAGGATGTGAAGGAGTTCTTTGGTGTCAGGAATCTAGAAGAAGCTGAGGTTTACTTCACGAATCTTCCAGCCGAGCATAGGTTCAGGCTGGTCGACAAGTTGGTAGCATCAGCGTTGGAGAGAAAGGAGGCCGATGCACGATTGGTAGGGGAGTTCTTTGCGCAAGCATCGGACAAGGGAGCGTGTGATGCGAGTGCTTTCGAGGACGGTTTCACACCGATGGCTGAGTTCTTGGACGATATTGCCATTGATGCGCCCAAGGCTTTCGAATACATGGCGATAATGTTACGCGGAGCAGGCATGGACAAAGATGAGGAGAGACTGGGTAGAATTGTAAGCAAATCAATGGACAGCGATAAACTTCTCGGGCTGGTGACACTGTGAAGTCACCTCAGCTACCTTACTCCCTTCTGAGCCTTTGATTCCCCGTATACCTTATTTCTGGACATCGAGAGTTGTAGTTCATGAGACCTAATATATCAGTGAAGTGGAGGAAATTCTTTTGCATGGTCCTCTACAACTTAGCAATCATCGAACAAAGCTAGAAAATATATAATTGCCTGCGAAGGCGGGAAACGCAATTCGGAAGGCCAGCCTGAAGCTAGTGGCATCCTTTTTCCTCCTGTTGACTAGCAAGTGTATATGAAAGCTGGCTGGAAAGGTTGTGCAAACGATCCAACTCAGCCCAAAGAGACACTACTTTAATCTCCGCGACCACTATCCAAACTCAGACTTACACCGAAAGTCAGGCGAACGGTCGTCTTTTGTCCTGTTCACAAAAAATCCATATCTCAATAATCTCATAGAATCTCATTGCATTATCGTTCGGCAAAGGAACACATTGAATAAACTATGGCATAAAATCGTATCAACTCAGGCCAATGTCTATGTCTGCGTTTCTCCGATCTCATGATATGGTTATTGTAAAGATTTTCAACGGTCTTTATGAGGCGTCTTCAGCTTGCCTTGCGACCCGTCCGTATATATCCGTATATGACAATATACGTGGAAAGGCCCGGAGATTTGAATTTGAAGCTGGGAATTCTGAAGTAGCGGCGGTCTTCCATTCTTTCATTCACAAGTCCTCACGAATAACTGTTACTTTGTGCGCAAATAGTACAGGCCATCACAAACTGTCCAGACCGTCATTCTGGAGCTGCTCTTTTGTAGAAAGCTTGGCTTATGATCCGATTCTCACAATCGCCATTTGTTCGTAACTTGGGTCCCGATCCTATCCATCCACATCGAGGTCAGCCAGTGGGGTTACCTTTGGGGGATACACTCGTGTTATGGAATCATAATGTTAGTGATCGCCCTTAGATTGTTTTCCCTCCATATTTTCTGATTTGTGACATTTGGGAAATGTCTTTAAATGCCGGCGAACCGAATCGCTGCTCCTCCTTATCCTTCCCGGGAACACACGATGCCTCACCTCCTGTAGCATCAACCTCATTCTACTCCTGAACCTCTCCACGGCATACCACCGTCGCCTCGGGTCCAATCTTTAACCGTTCCTGGCGTACCCATCGTGGATCGAGTGCCCAGTCCTGCATGTAGTACGCATCCGACTTCCGTGTACCTGCCCTCCAGCAGCGTGGATGTAGCATCATTGATACCATCAACTGTAATAGCCCCTCACGAGTATAATTTGATCACGAAGGCTAGTGTGGATGTGCCTAGCCCGCATTCATTAGAGGCGATCACCGAGATCCAGGACGGTACGGAGCTCAATCTGGAGGCATCAGACAAGCATAGCTTAGCACTACTCCGTTCACCTGGCGAAGTTGCAGGTCGAAGATCCCTCAGTGTAGAGCGTGATGGGTTCAAGATGATGCTTCTCGAGGGGAAGAATGAAGAGTACCAGTTGAGACAGGAGGAGGAAGAAGGGGGAAGAAAGGAGGATGAGAAGCAGGTTGAGGGTGACAACGAGGGGCGGAAATTGGTGCAAACAGATGCTCAGTTAAAAAAAGAGGAATTCAAGAACATGACCGGATCTCCACAACGTCTAACAATATCCAGTGAGTTCGAGGAGGGCGATACAATGGAAGTGTACCAGAATTCTGTCGGGCTTCGCATTGCTTTTGGAGGCAAATCTGCAGTTAGTAGTCCATTTCTGTCCATGGACAAGCTCCCTATATCTAGCAGGGCCGCAAGCGAAGAGCGGAATGTGCTTTTATCCGGCGGTCGTTTGACTTCAGCCGGAACCGACTCTGTGCATTCAGAAATCAGGTGTCTGTACACGCCGCAGCCCCAAGCCCAATATGATGAACATAATAAGTTGGCAGAGACGCAGATGAGCGATGTGGAGAAAGAAGAACGTCTGGGTCAGGTTGTATCGCATGACACTCCAAAAGTTGGCTTGCCGGTTCTCAGTGCTGTTTCTCTTGAAGCAGTTGCTCCTCTCAGAAAGTCTGCCAATCGTTGGGTTCGATCTCGCAAGGCGCAAATAGACACGGATTCGTCTTACATCGTCGACCGCAAAGTCAGAGCTCTTCTAAACAAGCTAACTATGACGAATTTTGAGTCCATCACAGATCAAATCATTGCATGGGCCAATAAGAGCGGGAAGGAAAAAGACGGACGAACGCTCATCCAAGTCATTCGACTTGTTTTCGAGAAAGCCACCAATGAGGCTATGTGGAGTGAAGTGTATGCTCGTCTTTGCAAGAAGATGATGGAACAAATCAGTCCCAAAGTGCAAGACGATGGCATCAAGGATGTTGAAGGGAATCCTATTGCGGGTGGTCAGCTTTTTAGGAGATACTTGCTTAACCGTTGCCAAGAAGATTTTGAACATGGATGGGGAGTAAAGAAGACAACCACTCTAGCTGCCGAGACTATCGAAAAAGATGAGAAAAGAGTTTCATCCGATGAGTTCTATGTCACTCAACAGGCTAGGCAGCGGGGCCTCGGTCTCGTCAAATTCATTGGCGAGCTATTCAAGTTGCATATGTTAGGTGAGCGGGTCATGCACGAGTGTGTCAAGAGGCTCCTTGTTAACGTGGAGAATCCTGAGGAGGAGGACATTGAGAGCTTGTGCATGTTACTCAGTACGGTTGGTGAAATCTTGGATACTCCCAAAGCACGCGCACACATGGATGTATACTTCACGCGGATGAAGAACATCGATAAAAGTGGAAATGTTAGTCTGCGTATACAGTTTACGCTTCAGGTCAGTAACTTTTGCTTATGCTCCTGCACCTTAATCGAATATCACACATTTCCACAGGATATTATCCAATTACGCGAACGTAAATGGGTAGGTAGAAAACCTGTGGCTGCCCCAATGACGCCCACTGCGATTCATGAAACGGTGAGTAATATCTTTATGGCGTACTTGTAGTTGCCCCTGATCTATGCCTTTGTCAGATACCAAAGAGAAAGCTGCCCAGAAGAAGCGGTTTCACAACCAAATGAGTACGTGTTGTGCAGGCGAGTATACATATGAGGGCTGAAGCAGGTCTTGATAGATGAAGAGCAGGAAGGAAATCAATAAAGATACGTGCCTAGTAGGCCGCCATCTGACATATGGGATCTGTGGTCCAGGTCTATTCGAGAATAGGTTTGTCGCCACGATCGAAATTTTGGATGTATCGACATGGTCATGGTGTGGTCAATGGATGGCCGAGAGAGTCCGAGAAAATCGAGAGCTGGTGCAAAGTTCCTCGGGGCGTTGTTTATAAATCCTAAGTCTGTTAGATTCGTTGCTACTGTTTTGCATTTCTCAGTGGACCTCCTCTTGTATTTCGCGTATACTTCCTCATGATGTCAGCATATAATAAGATTGAAAAAATCTGCCGCTTCTCTTTCGTCAGCAATGGGGTGTATGAATCACTGTCCACGCTGGGGCGCGCACATACACAAAACCGCCCCGAGACAGTCATTTAGCGTCGAAATATTTATATTACTCAACTGCGAGGGACCGTAGTTAACCAGTCGCGTAATAGACCTGAAGATAGGTCAGGCGAATAACAGCGACAAACTTGGATTGCAAGCAAAAATGTAACGTAGGCATCAACCATAGCGTTACGAGGGATTCAAGTTAAAAGTTAATGAGATGCTAAAACTGCACAGTTAATAATCGCAACAGTGACTTGACTGAACCTAAACACCTGCCTTATTAGGTAGTGCCTCGTAAGCTCTGGCAACTCAACCAAAACCAAAATCCACAAGGAACAGTAGTTTTCCATATTTGAAGTTAAAAGGCATTAGGGAGAACATTATTATGTGTTATAAGTGGGATTTCTACAAGCCAGCCATTCATCACCCTCAAAGATGCGCCATTCGCCATCCATCTACAGACCTTTGCCCTCACACCATTCCACCAATAGTTTAAAGATTGACGTTAATGGGGTTGCAATCAACACCGAGACCATCTAGCAACAGCGCATGAGATCAAAATCAATATTGCATGTGGAAGACGACTTACTTGTATAGACGTTCGTGCAGCAGGTGGGGTTAGCGGAGCTAGAAAGAGGGAATTATCGTCAGAGATGTACACCCATGTACCATGAAAAATATAGCTAACCAAGTAGAGCCGCTGCCAACACCAATAGCAGTAATAGGGTTGCAGTCGAGACCGACGGGGATGTTGGCGCCAATGCCACTCAGACCGATTTGTTGAATGAGGCCAGCAGCTTGGCTGTTGCTAGCGGTGGTCAAGGTGTTGCAGCACTGGACGGGACCCGTGTTGCATTGGTGGGTGACAGAACGAGCGGTAGCAACGGCAGCGAGAGCGGTGAAAACGAAAGCAGCTTTGGCGAACATGTTTTCTGAGTGACTGGAAGGTGTTGTTTTAGCTGATGAAGGTAATGAAGGTACTTTGGCTAAGGAAAAGAAAGATAGAATGGGCTTGCCTTTATACATCTTCGAGCCAGCCTGAGAAAAACACTGGACTGGCATCATGTCGTGTTTTCGAGTCCGCTGCATCAGTAAAACTTGACTAGAAGGCAGCTTGTGAAGCTCTCCGAAGCGACGATTCCCCGCCTTCACTGAGACATAACGTACAGGTGCAGAATAATGTACCATTTTGTTCACCTGGGCATTAGGATCATTTGGTCAGTACTTAGTTGTGGGACTTGTAATCATTCACTGTTCACCCACCAGGATAGTATAACATAGACCAGTTGTGTTCTTACAATTTACGTCTTCGTCGGTCCTGAAAGGATGGACCTCACCTTTTCTGCCGGCCATCGCATCGTTGACAGGTCATGCTAGCGGTTTCAAACTCATAAAACTAAAGAAGAGTAAGATTCCCTCGATGTTCAGCCACGGTAGCGAAATGAGTATGATGGTCGCGGCTACGGAAACTTGAAGAGGCGAAATGGCAGTTACCGAGCTTGCCGAAGGCTCGGGAACTGGGTGGGTGTATTTACCTATGTTTACTAACAGTCGCCAATCCACATGACTCCGCGAACGTTATACTAGTAATTGACTGGAACACTCAACATGAACGTGCATGAACGTTCAAAAAATTACTGCTCACTATGACTATGGGCTACCAAAGGAACATCGTCTCTATATTACACATGGTAAGTCATCAGGAAGAAGTGTCATATCACTCGTGAGCGGTCAAATATGGTAACGTTCACGGATGTACAACTTCCATTCCAGGTCTGTCTTGTTCACAATGCATTCAGATTTTCATATCTCATCACGCTACTGTCCTACATAGAAATTGGAGTAACCCAATAATAACACCTGGGTTTGCCACTTGACGCCGCAAATATCCTGGTCTGCCTCGTGTTTCTCGAAGTAGTAAAAAGCTGTTCAAGATTCACTGGCAGCAGAGTGCGTCCCCTAGCCTCATGTCCTGCAATCAGAAGTTGCAATCAGAAGTTCGAAAGCGCCGGAATGGTTATTTAAACTAAGAAGAAAGAGATGCCCTCCTATGCTGGTTTTACGCCTTATTGTTCATCATACCATTTTACGCAAGCTGCCCATTGAATCAGCGCCCCAAGTCACAACTCTCCCGTTGATTTCTCTTCATCATTGTTACTGGCAGGCTACTTTGTGTCATACCATTTACAGCAAATCCCAGCTCTTCATAAATCACTTGTTGTATCGAGTACGTCGCTTTGATTCACACCCTTTCTCTTTCATATAATAAAATCATAGAGCCCAATCTTACGTCAACACGATACCTCTCGCAGTGCTGATAATGAGTGAATCGCAAACATGTCTCCCGTCATCACGCTCGCAATATTTTTCAAACGATGCAATATCACCGATAAGCGATGCACTAGTAGACCAAATTGTGAGCATAACAGATAGGCTTGGTATGGCCGGGGAGGGTTCTGAATCAGTAATACAAGGTGTGTTCCAGTTTCTGGTTAAAAGATTCCTGCTCATGCTACTCATTTACATGAAGATCAGCAATCAGATTTACCTCAGGGCAACATGTCCACTGACGTCGAACGCCGACCTGCTCCCCTAGGTCTTACCTGCTCAAAAAAATGTATCACTCCTCTTCCTTCTGCAATCGCCGCTGCTCGCATCATCAAAGATATTGGCCAGATTCAATACCCGGATGGTATCAAGAGTCCCAAGGTGGAGCTCAATGTTGGTGCAAAGGATGGCAAATTCAGGTAAACTGATCCATCCCAATTTTAGTTCTTTGGTTCACATTTCGTTGCCTCTCAAGGTACGATCGGGACTTCCTCTTGCAGTTCATGTCTCTATGTCAGGAGAAGCCAGACATGCTTCCACCTCTTGATGCAATTGGTATCGAGCCCCTTGATCAAGCCTCATTCGCTATGGCTCGCGGCGGTTCAGGACGTCACCGACAAGCTTCGAGTGCTATGACTCCTGGTGGATCTATGCGCCAGAGCGCTGTTGGCCTTGGTATTGGCTTTGGTGGTAAACCTGCAGCTGGTGGTTCGTTCCCTTCGATGGGCAAGTTCGCCACACGTAGAAGTAGGCTCACTAGTGAAGAGCGATTTGCAATGGCTTCGGGCGCTCGCTCCGTTTCTGTCGGCAGTGGGCCTGCTGGGTTGCAGTTTCATCCTCCTATGACTCGATCGCTAAGTCAAGGTGGACCCGGGCATCCTGTTGGTAGCAATCGCACTCGCAGTAAACGGGGAGAAGAGAGAAACGACGCGAGCAAGGTCCCAGGACACCAGGGTCAGGGCCAGGAATACGGTACGCCTATGCTTGGTTCGGGCTTGAGTGGCCTTCCCCTCGAACCTGTTGCACCTTTGGAATTGTCTGCCAATCGCTGGGTTGCTGGAAGCATATCACGCAAGCCTCAGGTTGACGTGGACTCCCCTGAAATTGTTGACCATAAAGTGAAGGCACTTCTCAACAAACTGACCATGCAAAAGTTTCAGCCAATCTCGGATCAATTAATTGCGTTGGTTAACACTAGTGAAAAGGAACGGGGTGCGCGCACGCTTATTCGAGTTATTCAGCTCGTTGTCGAGAGAGCGGTTGACGAGGTTATGTGGAGCGAGATGTATGCTCGTCTATGTAGGAAGATAATGAAGCAAATCAGCCCCAAGGTACAAGACGACGGGACCCAGAATGCTGATGGAAAGCCTATCGCTGGTGGTCAACTGTTCAGGAATTATCTGCTCAACCGCTGTCAAGAGGATTTCGAGCGTGGATGGGTTGCGAAGGAGGCGACTGCTGCAGCCGCTGTAGCTAAGGCAAGCGAGGACAAGGCTGCCAAGGCAGCTGACGACAAGAGCGGTGCCGGCGGTGAAGAGAGCGAGCTAAATTTGGAAGACCATTATGCAGCTCAGAAGGCGAAACGTCAAGGTCTCATCAAGTTCATCGGAGAGCTCTTGAAGCTGCAAATATTGACAGGGCGGATCATGCACGAGTGTGTCAAGAAGCTTCTCGGCAATGTCAAAAACCCTGAGGAGGAAGAGATTGAGAGCTTGTGCCAGCTTTTCGCTACTGCTGGTCAAATTCTGGACACTCCCAAGGCACGCGCGCATATGGATGTTTACTTCACCCGAATGAAAGTACTCGGTAAGAGTGCTAATGTCAGTTCACGTATGCAATTCATGCTTCAGGTCAGTCACTTTCTCTATATTTTATGACATTCTTACTGAGTAACGCATTCATGTAGGACATGGTTGAATTACGTGAGCGTAAGTGGATAAGTCGTAATGCTGTGGCTGCACCAATGACGCTCGCTGCAGTTCACGAAGCTGTGAGTCATTATCAAAGTTATATTTGTGGACGCCCCTGATTAATAATTCCTATTAGGCTGCCAAAGAGAAGGCGGCTCAGGAGAAAGAGTTGTATCAGCGCCAAATGAGCATGTCTCGTGGTGGGTCACGGAGAGGTGGCGAGCGCGGAGGTGATGCTCAAGTTGGCCCTGATGGATGGGCAGTGGCAGTTGGATCTGGTCCTCCAATACCCCCACCCAAAGCTGGTGATCTGTCGAACTTCGGAAAGATCCAGAAGGCAACACCTGTGACGTTTGGACCTAGCAGTATGTTCGTTGGTGGCAAGAAAGAGCAGAGCTTGAAGCGCGAGGCGTTATCACGGACAAATTCTAGTTCGAATACGTTCTCTATGCTGAGCCAGATCCCAGAACTTGCTGCCGAAGCCGCCGCCGTGAAGTCTTCTCGACCGCCAAGTCGCAAGGCAAGCATGGATTTCAATCAGACTGGTTTACCAGAACAGCCTCTCCAGAGAAAGAAGTTGCAGCTGCTCCCGCGGTCGAAGCCTACTGAAGAGTCGACACCTGCAGTTACCGAAGGAGTATCGGAAGACGAGCCCGCTGAGAGTGTTACAGCGGACGTTCACTCGATGACAGAAGCCGAAGCACAGAAGAAAATAAATGAGGATGTTAAGGAGTTCTTTGGTGTCAGGAATCTAGAAGAAGCTGAGGTTTACTTCACGAATCTTCCAGCCGGAGCATAGGTTCAGGCTGGTCGACAAGTTGGTAGCATCAGCGTTGGAGAGAAAGGAGGCCGATGCACGATTGGTAGGGGAGTTCTTTGCGCAAGCATCGGACAAGGGAGCGTGTGATGCGAGTGCTTTCGAGGACGGTTTCACACCGATGGCTGAGTTCTTGGACGATATTGCCATTGATGCACCCAAGGCTTTCGAATACATGGCGATAATGCTACGCGGAGCAGGCATGGACAAAGATGAGGAGAGACTAAGGAGGATTGCAGGCAAGTCAATGGACAGTGACAAGCTGCTCAAGTTGGTGTCATCGTAGATTATCGTCGGTTCCTTCGCTGCGCATCCTCATTTTTTTTGTATCTTACATTGGTTTTCGTTTCGGTTTGGTCCTTTCTCTCTCTCACTATTTGCATTCTCTCATTCTCTTTTTCATCATTATTCGCCATCCATGTTCTGCACTAATGTCTGCACACACGACTGCAGAGCCTCCCTCCCACATTTTCCACATTGTTTTACCGCTCTCATTCAGTACGCTAGGTACATTGTGAGCAATATACTCCAGCAGACAACTCATTTGGCACACAGCCATTAGCTTCTTCCAGACAAAAGAGTGTCTATAAAAGACCTCGGCTCAGAGCCCAATAAGGCAAGGTATGCTCCAGTTGCCAGTCCACGGATTGTTGCTCATACTATTCATCGACATCAAGAGCTGGTCACGGAAAATAGGCAAAGGAAGGAGCAAGAGGATTGGAAGCGAAAGGAGGAGGATGAGCGTAGGAAAGCAGGGAGAGCCTGAGGGGGTTTGCTCGCTTCTCACTACCAGTATAAGGCAAGTATTTTGGTTCTAAGTTTTCGCAGGTAATTGGATATGATTCGACAAGAACACCAATAAAAACAATTAAGGTAGCAAGGATATCTTGCAGTTGCAGTCACTAGGGCGGTTACTTTTACTCTGTAATAATGAAAGTTGGATGGCGACGGCAACGATTCAGCCCAAGGCAAGAAGCAGATGTTTCATACTCCGCGACATTTGCCGTTTGCCCTGGCACAGACCATTGCGTTTTCTCTTTCTTCACCGAAATAATCATGGGCTCAGAACTCAACGTCTATTCGCCTTTATTGTCGATCTCTCAGAAAACCTGGATAAAGAAAACAATGCATTGGACCATATGAAGCAAGGTCAAGCTCACTTTTTGGTTTCGCAGATCTACAGATTTGGTTTTGCCTGGTTGTTACCGTAAATGCTTGTTCAAGACCCATCAAGTGCCTCCCCCATGCCGCATGTTGCCACCCGTTGCTGTATGTAAATGTGCAGGAACTCCACAACGCGTGCAAGGTGCGTTGGACATGAAGCGAGGAAACACATCTCTCATCCTGACTTCTTTGTTACCATCCTGCCACCACACTATTCATTGTCAGTACACCACATACCGTCCAGGCCACCACACCTCAGCTCCCAACAGGCGGAAAGCTCGAACTATCACTGTCCCAAACACATAGTTAATCTCTGCTTGTTCTTTGCCCACACGCAACACATTCCAGGTCATCGTATCCGAACTCGTGAGTGGTTTTCTAATGCGAACCAGCTTTGGCTAGTTAAATGTCATATATAGAACCTTAAAGACGTACTTGGAGCACTTGCAAACCATACATCCCAAGGAGCATAGGATGAAAAAATCATCACCTGCTTCCATATCAAAGAACTCGGCACTCTCAGCATGGGCAAAAGGCCCGCCGCAAAAGGCCGCTCCAAACAATACCACATCACCAACAAGCATGACGACCCACTCCCGTAGACCATGTAACTTCGCTCAGGGCGTGAATATAGAAGAAGGCGTAAGTGTGCCTCAGGGTCATGTTGGCTCCCAAAGACAAGGTGTGTGCGTTTCTAATTTCTTATAGCACTGTTGACGTTATCTCTCTTCATAAGGATCCGCAGTTACGTTTGGTTCAATAAATGACGCGTCTGCTCCAGTCAGGTCCTCTCCCAGCGCTACACTTACCATTAACAGCGAAAGCATGGATTCATTCACATCCGCACCAATTTCTCCCATCCCTTCGGCCACCGCAGTGCCGTTTGCTACAAAGCCAGCTACAGTCAAGATTGACTTACAGGCGCTTTTCCAGAGTGCTAGGTCTTTACAGGCATCGTCTCAACCTAATTTCGACCCACTTTTATCTTCCGCGCAACTTCCTAAAATTTCTCCTCAGTTTCAGCAACACTCGTCTCAATTATATCTTCCTGCGCATCAGCCACATTCTTTGACACAGCCCTCTCAGTTTCGTACACATGCATTCACGCCGTATGCACGTCCTGGTGGTGGAATACGACCTCAGCGCAATGAAGTGGGACTAAGTAAGGATTCCTCTTTGCCCGTATATCCGACGGCACAAGACATTGAGTTGGAAAATGCCTCGCCAGCTGTGGCGGCACCTCAGCGTAAATCAACCTCCCCCAAGGCGTTTGTGCCAGGCACGCGTTCGAAAGTGATTATCAGGGACCTTGATGGTATGGAAGTCAGTCTGGATGATTTGAAGAAACGCGGAACAGCCTCATCTGACTCACCTGGTGGAGCTGAAATAGAGACCAAGAAGATGCGACTGAAAGAGAAACGGCGGCTAAAGAGGGAAGCTGAGGAACTGCATCGCATCGTGGGGACGTTACGCATCGAAGCGGAGGAAGAAAGGCGTAGGAAGACGCAAGAAGACGGACAAAAAGATGTCAAGATCTCTTCCCTACCTATGTATACCAGTATCGGCACGGAAGTCGATCCTATGGGGATCGATATTTCCACCACATCGCCACTCTTTCATGGCAGACCTCGACCTGGCCCTCCTGCTATGAGCAGCTCAAGAAAAGATGTCCTGGTGTCCCTTCCTTCAGTATATGCAACTGCTCAGTTCATTCAAGACCTCGGACAGATCAAATACCCAGATGGTATCAAAAGTCCAGAAGTAGAGCTTAATGTCAACGCAAAGGATGGAAAATTCAGGTATAAACCATTCTCAAATAGTCGTAAGACCTTTCTCACTCACCACATTCCCTCAGATATGATCGTGATTTCCTCCTACAGTTCATGCCCCTGTGTAAAGAAAAGCCGAATACGGTACCTCTCTCTCCACTTGGTCTCACACCGGTCGATTCATTGATAACGGCTCATGACGACTCTGGGCGTCACCGCCCGATGTGGGGTACACAGAGCAAGCAAGTTGAGGAGGGCAACGCTGCGAACAAAGCTATGAGAAGTAAACGTACAAGAACCAAGCGGGGTGAGAAGCCGGTGGTACACCCAACTCAGATTGCACTGGACAGTGCTACCACTATATCCAGTTCATCTGCTCGAAGCGATATGTTGTTTGATTCAGTAGTTCCCTTGGAACTGAAATCCTAAGGATGCTAGTCTGGATGCAAAACTTGAAGATTGCTTGGTTGGCTGTGAAGTCACAGTCCTTTTTTCTAAATTCGTTTATCAGCTAGTGCACTAGTAATGTAACGTGCTCTTTCTCTCTGCGCTGTATCAATAAAATATTTCCTTTATGCTATCAAGCTTATTGCTACAATAATTATTTTAAGTCTGCTGCAGAAGTCAACAACGCCGAAGGCCTGAGGTATTTGATTCTCCGCGACATTTAGTGTCAACTGCAGGTCGATTGGCAGGAGGCTGGAAAATAAGTGAACTCTATCTTCCTCGGTTTTCACTTCAATTTGCTTCAAAGCTTCCACCTAAGAATTGCCAGTACCCCCCACCGCAATCTCACCTACCAGGGAAGACCTTTGACGTTGACTAAGGATTTACAAACAAGGCATGTGGGCTCCTGTGGTGTATATTTACATCTCAGGTTAGAGGAGAACATGCGGCAGAGATAAGGCACATCATTACTACACAACAGGCCATACGAGGAGATTGACGCACTCAAGTGATTACTTTTACAGAACTCGGAGGCGCTGGGACGGCAATCCAAATTCGAAGCAGGGAAAGCTATCGCCACCTTTCGTTCGTACCATCTTACCATCTTGCAATCATATTTTACCCTGGCATCTCTCTCAGTCCTGACCATCGTTTGCGGGATAGTCATTTGGAAGAGCTTTGACATCGAAACACTGAGCCAGTGGCACAGATCCGCGAAATTGATTGTAGCCACCACAATCAAATGTCGTCTGCTCATCCACATCAAGACCTGCCTGCTGATCAAATGCTCGTGCAATGTACCTACTCCGTCAGTCTCCGCCTTCTATCGGCCATCTGTCATATCATTCTAGTATCTAACACGTATTATAGTATTACACTACGCGAACGGATCTGCATCCAGCTCCTCATCCTTCCCAGTATACATTTCAACCACATGGCACTTCACCGCATCAATACCAGCCTCCTTTTGAATATCCAAATAGCGAGCCAATGTCTCCCCAAAGTCAATATACACTTCCTGCGCTACACGTCGCAGATCATTCTGTTTATAATCCTGCCCATAGTCAAAACCAAATAACTTATAACGAGCAGATTAATCCAGAACAAACCTATCAATCACCCGTTTACTCAGACATGATGCCTCATTGGCACGCAGGTGTTCCTTCAAGCTCCAATATCCCTGGAGTTCCACCAACTGCCGTTAGACCAAGATTTCCTCCATATCCTGCTCATCATGATCAAACTCAGATAGCGGGACTCCTCCCTGGACAAATGCTCGTCCAATGTAATTACACCGTCAGTGGAATTGTCTTTCAGTAGTCCATAATATGCAGTATCCCCCGTATCTGACACTAAAGTTATGGTTTCTAGTACGTTACGTCGACAGACCCACAAACTATTCCTCATCCTTTCCAGGACACGATTCAACAACAGCAAGGAGGTCTTTCCCCCGATTCGCAGAACGGAATGCTAATGTCGCCCCACCATCAGTCCCCACGTCTTCCCGGTATACATACAATGGATCATTCATCGGCAATGCCTAGTAATGAAGGATACTCGTACTTCACTTCCTCTCCTCTACCTTCCAATGATACAGATGGATCAGGGACACTGTCACCAACTACAGGAGTTGTTGGTGGGCAGAGTTTAAACACTAGTGCTAGTGCATTTCTTCCATCCCTTCCCGCGTCAAAGATCACTATCAAAAGCCAGGACGGCACAGAGTTGGATTTAAATGCTATGAAGAAGTGTAGTCTACTACCAAAGGGTTCATCTCGTGCAAACCGTCGTCCAATCCGGATAGAGAGCGAACAATCAAAGCAGAAGCGTCTGCAGGAGCAAAAGAAGATGGAACGGGTTAAGAAGGTGGCGGGGGACACACCTAATGCGGCCGGCCACTCTGGATTTGATAGCACAACCAGCTGCAGCTCGCATTCCACTGTATCCCATTCGCCCTCGAATACGGTAGTTTCTGGTGGGGAATGTATGAGCATCAGTGCTAGCCCATTTATTCCTGGCTATCGCTCATCGACTATAACTATCGACAGTGAGGATGGTACAGAAGCAAAGGCGAATGGGCCACTACTGTCGGATTCAGTGCTACCAGCTGCGGCTATCTCTGGTAGGCAGAGTTTGAACACAGCTGCCAACCCATTTGTTCCCGGCTGTCGCTCATCGGGAAAGGATACTAGCATTGAAGATGACATGGCATTGAAAAACCACGACCTACCGCCACCAGGTTTACCGCCACCAATTGCAGCTGTCTCTGTTGGGCAGAGTTTAAACACCAGTGCTAGCCCATTTGTTCCTGGCTGTCGCTCATCAGGTGACATGGATTTGATAAATCATGATTCAATATTACCAGGCTCATCGCCACTAAGAGCAGCCATCTGTGACAAACAGCGCTTAAACACCAGCGCTAGCCCATTTATTCCCAGCTACCACTCATCTGTGGTGACTATTAGGAGTGACGATGGTACGGAGTTGAAGAAAGATGGTCTACTACTACGGGGTTCACCGCCACCAACTGCAGCCGTCTGCGGTGGACAAAGTCTAAGCACCAGTGCTAGCCCGTTTGTTCCTGGCTCTCGTTTATTGAAGGACACTATAAAGAACAAGGATGGCGTAGAGTTGACCCCGGAAATTTTGAAGAAGCATAGTCTAGCACCACCAATTTTACCTGGTAGGTCTGCAGATAGCCATCCTACTCGGGTAGAGAGTGAGGAGTCAAAAAACAAGCATTTGCACGAGCAAAAATTGAAGAGTTGGCCAGAGAAAGAGAGCGAGCGGACACAGCAGGAGGCTGGGAATAAGCACCAGCTGATAAAGGAGGCGGACGAAAGGCAGCGAATCCAGAGGGAGCAAGATATTACCCAACAACAACTGAATGAACAAAAAAAGCTTATTCAAGCTTGGTTACAGGAGACTAAAGATCAGCATGGGCAGGATCTCGAAAACGCTCGAATATCCGAACTGCCAAATAAAGTGCTGTCACCATCGCCATCAATGCCTATGGAGCATAATCTGAATGCGACTGCTGGTGAGTTTGTGCCAGAGTTATGTATGGGGAAGGTGGTCTTCAACAGTCCAGACGAGGCGGAAACCAGTTCTGAAGCGGGGAAGAAACATCCTGTGATTGTACCTCGCACACACTCGCCTGATAAGAGTCAGGATGGTGCGGAATGCGCCCTGGGATCATTGAACAATCATGATAGAGGATTTTCCAGATCTTCTGATGCGGTGGAAGAAATGAGTGTAGATGCGTAAGTTATACTCCTACTACAAGAGAGCATAACTGCTATATATCATGTTTTGTCACCGTATCTGATCATATTTTCTGCCAGGCTGACAAAGGCGAGACTGCTCGAGCGGCGTCAACAAAAGCAGGATCGTATCAAAAGCCTCTTGTCAATGCTAGCGCAGCAGACTTTACCGTGATGAAATTGTTTATATCACATACTTAATCTGCAGATGTATCAGAAAGAACAGTGCTGAAGAATATATTTAGCTCTGCGCAATGCTTGCTCGACATTATTATGGAAATAAAAAATTTGTCTTTGTGGTCACAGATATTCTTGTATCACGTCGCTGTTTATGTCTATCTTTTTTTTGGCGCTCAGAGCCTCTACTAAGAGTGTTCCTAGACACTCTGAGCAGTCCGTTTTTTGCTGCACATCTAAACAACTGGCGCTAACACCACAGGCATTGGCTTATACAGTGACTCCAAGAACCCTTTCCATGTTGACTCTGGGTGTCATGCATGAAGCATACCATCAGATAGCTTGAGAATTGCACTTAGCTTTGGTGAAGTCATAAATAGTACATACTCTTGGCTATAAAATTGCTCCATAGGTCATGTGATTTGGTTCACATGCTATAGAGATATGGCTGATCTAAAACAAAAACACCATGGAAAGGGTTTTTTCACTTTTGAACTGATGACTAGAACCTTAGTTAAAACATTGAATATTTGCCATTATGTGTTGGTACAAACAAAGATATATATACAAATGGTATGTATGAGCTTGAAAAAAAATCACACACTTCTGATTCTCAACCACCATCATGGTCAAATCCCTCCCTTTTACTCAAAAAAGCTCTATTCTTTTATTGCTTGATGTTGGCTACTCTGGTGAAGCCATTGCCAAGCAGACTGGTGTTAGCCCTTCTACTATATCCAAACTTTGCTCCAAAGAGCATTCTACCCTACCTAAAGCTATTAAAGGCTATCCTTCCAAGCTTTCTCCTACCAATATTTGACATGCCCAATGTCTTATTATCTCTGGAAAAGCTGAAAATGCTGTTAAAGTGACCAAAGCCCTACCAGCATCATCAACTAGTTCCTTTCATCCAATACTGCTTGCCTTCATTTGATGAAATCTGGTATATGTGGTGAAGTCCAAACTCCCCCTTCTCTCTACTAGGCATCACAAAGCTTGTTTAGATTTTGCCTATGTTCACAAGGATTGGACTTTGGAGGACTGGAAAAGAGTAATATGATATGTTGAGACTAAAATCAATCACCTAGTGTTATGCACAAAGTGCTTAACAAAGTCTGAGGGTTCGTCAAGGTTTGTAAAGAGACTTATCCAAAGACAAGTTCGAGAACATAGTTCTGAGTGGAGTTCTTCCAATGAGAGTTGGTCTTCTTCTGAGTAGAAGTCTGATCTTAGGAGTCTAGCTTTGTAAGCGTAAACTGCGTAGAATCATATTAGAGAATACTACTGCTGTTACATGGTATTTATAATGGAAAGGAATCAGTGATAGGAGTTAGGTCCTATCTAGGGCAGGTCTGTCCGTTGAGGACTAAGTACTATAATAGGTACTGCAAATGCGAGAGGAACAGAAGTGTACGTGAAGGAAATGAGTCATTGGTCCGATGGTATAACCAATGAGTAAAAAAAAATGAGTAGTCCTTAAATGTCCAATAGAGATTGTAACATAACCCCCTTACTTGCTCCGAGTTTCACCAAAATTCTGTACCTTCGCCGTCCATATTGTAACTGTTGTCGTAGCTGACGTCTCCATGTCATCCTTCCATCAGAATCCTATCCTCATCTTCCCTGCGGATGGGACACCAGATAAAACTATGTCCCGGTGCACGACGGTCACAGTCAGGGCAATAGTAGGCTTTGCAATAGTATGTGTGATGATCGCTCCGACCGCAGTTTTAGCAGTATGGAGCGTTGTTACGAACACCTTCATGGTATTTTTGTTGGGTGTTGGATGAGGTGTTGGATTGGGGAGTGGTTGGATCGTCATCTCCCAGGTCGTACGTTCCTGCGTACAACTGATTGATCATGGCTGCGTCGTCATCTACATTGATTGGGTTGGAGGGAAAGCCAGTCTTAGGCCTGTGCATTGTGCCAGGCGGACTGTCTTTCTGTCCCTTCGACATACAAGATTGCTGTTTTGATGGAGTTCTGGCGGTGGGGATCTGGAGTATCACCTCTTGCCAGCCGCGTCGGGCTCCTCGTCGGTTCGTCAGGCGATGGGTTTGGGCGTTTGATACTGGTCGAGGTGGAGATGATGGGGGAGACAGTGGTTTTGGGTTTGACCCAATGGAACGGGGACTGGAGTGGCTCGACTCTTGTGAGATCGGGCTGGTTGGGACGGTGGGAATATATTTTTCCCCCAACGGGATGAGCGTAGGTCAATGGGTGATGATGTGGTAAGTGTTACAATAACACAATTTTCGGACCTTTCCTTCATTTTCATTCTCCGCTTTAACCTTGTATACTTTAGCTTTCACACATGGTGCCACACGGCACTTCCCCTTTTTTGTTCAAACTCCTCTTTCTCGCGCCGCATTGCCTTCTTCTTATTTTTGGATACAACTCTCTCACACAGTGGAGCTGGTCATGCGGGCTAGACCCCATGACATCATCAGCCACTGACTTTATCAACTGTACAGTACATAAGTACAAACACTCTGTATTAGTATATATACCCCAATAGATCCAGGAGACTCCTCAGTGAGTCCTCCTGTTGTTAACCGACAAACTCTCTGCAGCTTAAGGGGTAACCACTCCCTCATCCCTACCTTTATAGTGTGTTCTTGTGTGCGCCAGAGTAACTAACTCTTGGTTGTTACAGTAAGTGCACTCCGGGGTAACACTGGTCTGGTCTGGGTGCGACAGGGACCGGAGAAACAAACCGGGTGGAGGAGTACTCGTACAACCGTCTCGCTCTATTCGCGTGCGAGCTTCGTTTAGCAATATCCTCCCGCCTGATTCCAAATATTCCCTTGTCAACTCCGTCTGCCCATTCGAGGAGCTCATCCTCAAGTGTCGTTCCAAAGATTCCAAAACTAACTTTTCCATCCGGATTGCCCGACAGATACTCGAGTCCTGACTGTTGAGCTGCGAATGCTCGTTTTCCAATGAATGTATTGAGTCTATGGCTTTTAGGAGTTCGTCAGCTACGAGGTCTATGGCAAGGAAGGTATGCATGGAAGAAAGAGCGTGATACACATGGGGGCAGCGTTTTTCGGTCTCATAAAAGAGATAGGTATAGGCATCTTTTGCTGACATTAATTCTATGGTGTCAGTGACGTCGGCTTGGTTGTGTCGTTGCCCACGGGCAAAAGACACTCGTTCATTGGCTAGCAAGTTGGCATCACCAGGTATCGAGTAGGTGGTGATAGGGAAGCCGGTGGAGTTAGAAGTAGACATGTTTTTGCGTTGAGAGACAGAGGATTGTTGGTAGTGGGGTGATTGTCTCTTCAACGCAGCTTGTGGTCCTTCTTATAGGCTTCCAGTATCTCCGCAGCATTGGTTAAATGTTCTTCTGGTTCCCATGAGTTTTTGGAATGAGGGTAATGGCGCCATTTAATCAGGTAGCGGCGCCCGTGTTTCCAGGGTTTGTGTCTAAGAATACTTTCTACTTCATATTCCTCTTCTTCGTTGACCAGGTCAGGTGGTGGTCGGATAAAGTTCGGGCCGTGAGTGTTGGTTCCCGTATATGGCGTGAGAAAGGATGTGTGGAAAACATTGTGTATCCTCCAATGGGGAGGCAGGGATAGTCGGTAGTTTACCGGGGAAATCTTTTCTTGGATGCAAAAAGGTCCAATGCGTTTCATGTTAAACTTCTTGTATTCGGTAGCTTTTTCTCGTAGGTTGGTGTTCTCTAACCACACCTTTTGCCCTTCGGAGAATCACGTGAACTTTCCGTTGTTTTGTTTCATCATCTTGCTTCTCGCGAGTTCATGTGCTTCTAGGGCGTTTTCCCTTGCCCTAAGCAGTTCAGATAATTGTTTTTCCACTGATGGGATATTCGTGGATCTGTGTTTGGTCGGGATTCCTCGGGGTTTATATCCCATGAGGAGGTAGAATGGTGATTGGTTGTTTGTGGAGTGTGGTCTTTGGTTGTGGCAGAATTCCGCGGTTGTGAGGTACTCTGCCCAGCTGTGCGGTTGGTTCTGGCAAAAGATGCGGAGGTAGATCTCCAGTTCTTGGTTGGATCGTTCTGTCTGTCCATCCGTCTGGGGATGATATGCAGAGGAGAGTGCGGTTTCAATGTTCAGGAGTTTGTGGAGTTCTTTGGATACTTCAGAGGCAAACTGTGGTCCCCTGTTGGATATGAGTTTATCGTGCAATCCGAATCATTTGAAAATGGAATTGTGAAAGATTCGTGCGGTTTCGAGCGCGTCGATTGTTTTATGACAAGGTGAGAGGATTACCCCTTTACTAAGTCCTTGGTCTACCACGACCGTCATACTGTTGTATCCTGAAGATTCTGGTAAATCAGTTATGAAGTCTACGGATAGGTACTTCATCGGTTCGGTGGTTTTTGGGGTCTGGTTTGGGATTAATGGTACGGTGGTGGGATGCGTGTTTACTTTCGCTTATTGACAAGTTGCGCATCCTTTCACGTATTCTTCCACTTGTTTCATCATTCCTGGCCACCAATAGGCCTTTTTGATCAACTGGTAGGTTTTGAGCCTTCCTGGGTGTCCTGCGGACAGGGAATCGTGGTGATCTTTGATGATCATCTTTTGTTCTTCTACTTTGTCAATCAGTAATTTATTCTGATAAAAGAACTGTCCTTCTTCTTTTTTCCAATTGTCTTTCTTCGTTCTTCCTGGATAATTATCGTTTGTGAGTATGGCTTGCTTGATTGTGTTTTTAATTGTTTGTGTGTGATACAGGAACGCTGAGGCGTGTGTGTCATTGTTATCTCCTTCTGTTTTGACGTATAAATCAGGTCTTCTTGAGAGTGCATCGGGTACCACCATGTGGGTTCCTGGTACGTGTTCCAAGGTGTAATTGTATTGTGACAGTTCCAGCTGCCATCTTCTTTGTCGCGGTGTGAGTTTCCTGGCTTCTTGCCAGTACGTCAGGTTCTTGTGATCTGTCAGGAGTTGGATCGTGTGGGGGCTTCCCAAAAGTAAGTGTTTCCACTCTTTTAAAGCTCTCATTACCGCTAATAACTCTTTGTCGTATATCTGGTAGTTCTTTTCAGCGGGGGATAGAGTTTTGGAGAAAAATGCACATGGGTGCCATTGTCCTTAGTCATCGGGTTGCATTAAAACAGTTCCTGTGGCGTGTTTGCTGGTGTCTGCAGCAATCTTTGACAGTTTTGAGGAGTCGGGAATTTGTGTTTCATCAATTTGAAAGTGTCATCTTCAGTGTGGGTCCAGTTCCACTTTCTATCCTTTTCTGGTAAGGCATTCAAGGGTCTGGCAAGGTCAGAGTAGTGACCGATAAACTTCCTGTAGAAGTTTCCGTAACCTAAGAACTTCCTTATGCCTTTGGTGTCTTTCGGGATTGGCCAATCGTGGATCCCAGCGAGTTTGGCTGGATCCATTGATACTTGATTGTGGGAAACAATCATTCCCAGGTATTCAATGGTTTTTGCTTTGAAGGTGCATTTTTCTAGTTTTAGGAATAGGTTGTTATCGCGTAGTCTTTGTAGAACCTGTTTTGTTCGGATTCGGAGTCTTTCGATGTTGGTGTCAAAGATGAGGATGTCATCCATGTATATGATCATCCAACCTTCATTGATGTAGTCTTTGGATTTGTCGTTCATCAGCCTTTGGAATGTTGCCGGTGAATTGCACATGCCGAAGAACATGACCGTTGGTTCAAACACTCCTTTGCTGGTTTTAAACGCAGCTTTCCATTCGCCTCCTTCTTTTATCCTTACATTATTGTATCCCCAACGTAGATCTAGTTTTGTAAAGATGATGGCTCCTTTCAATTTTTCGATGAGGTTGGGTATCAGGGGTAGTGGATAGGGGTCTTTCACGGTATATGTGTTCAGTTTTCTGTAATCTTGGCACGGTCGGAGTGATCCATCCTTTTTGCCGATGAAGAAGAAGGGGGACACCTGTGGCGACTTGCTCGGCCTGATGTATCCCTTTCTGTAGTTTTCCGTTAAGAATTCTGTTAATGCTTCGTCTTCCTTTGGTGCCAATGGGTACAACTTGCAATCTGTTGGTACGAATTCTGGTTTCATGTTGATTGCATGATCATATTCCCGTCGCTTGAGGAGTCTTTCCGACTTCTTTTTGTCAAAGATGTCCGAATACCCTTTATATTCATCCGGGAGGTTATGCTCCTTTTTTTCTCCGTGTATTTGCGCGTGTTCCATTGCCAAGTTGACCTTTAATCGAATCGTGGTTCGAGGATAGGGTGTTTGGTCGGATACATATCTATGAATGGTTTCGTACACATCCTCGTTTACTGCGGTTGTCCTGATTTTTGTTTCCGTGGTTGTTTGGTTCATCCTGATGGAGTGTTTGTCCGAGTTTGGTAATTCTTTGTCTTTCCAGTTAATGACAGGATTGACTTTTCGTAACCAGGGAAATCCCTGTAATATGTCTTCTCCGTCTAGTCCGGTCAATAGGGACTTTGTAAACCTGTTTTGTCCTCCTGCAGCTATCCTCTGATAGGTGCAATGCATAATTTTTCCGTTTTTGTTCGTGGTTCCGTCAACATTTTTACACGTTATAGGAGTTGGGAGTTTTTGGAGGGGGAGTTGGTGTCTGATGGCGAATTTTGTGTCCATGAAGTCGTCTGTAGCTCCTGAATCTATCAGGGCTTTGGTTCCAATGGTTTTCTGTTTCAATGAGCAATCAATTTGTAAAGAGTTGGCATTGATCGTTGCTATTGTTACAGTTGCCATTTTTGACGGTACTAACATCGGGGTAGTCCGTCATTTTAAAAACCCTCGTATTCTAATTCTTTCATCGCCTCTGTTCTTTGATCTTCTCCTAACTCCCTCCACATCCTCATGATGTTTTGGACCCTGTCTTCTTCCACCACTGTTTTGGTGTCATCTTCTGTTCCGGTTTGACGTACCTTTCTTTCGGGAGTTTTTCCTTTGTTCTTACAATTCCTTCCTATGTGTCCTTTCTCGTTACATATGAAGCATCTTCCCTCTTTCCTCCTTGATTCTTCTTCATCTTTAGTTAATCTTCTGGTGCTGGTGGATGGTCCACTTTTGCGGTTTCTGTTGTTCTGTCTTTCTTTGTTTCTGGCGCCCCACGCTCCTTCCGAGATAGCGTTGGCACAGATCCAGTTGGTGTCTAGGTTCGCCACTGTGCTCATCCAGTCTTTGATGGTGAGTAGTTCCTTTCCGGTGAGTGCCCTGCGAAGGAGGGGTTGTTGATGCTGCTCTTCCCAGCATCTAGCATGAACCTTGAGTTAAATGCTACTGCATTTTCTCCTTGTTCCATCTTCATTTTCATCAAGGCAGCCGAGGCCGTTCCTTTGATGTTTGCCGTTCTGAAACTGGTTGTGAAGGTTTTCATGAAGTCTGCCCATGTGGGGTAGGCGTTCTTCTCTTTGTATTTGGTCATCTTGGCTTCGCTCCATGAGGCGGCGTTGCCTTCCTTCATGTAGCTGAGGGCCACATATACCTTTTTCTTGTCGGAGTTGTAGATGGTGTCGTTGATATCAAAGTGTAGATTGGTGGACGATATCCACCTTTGGGCTTTATCTGCGGTTCCATCGAAGTCATCAATTTTCCCGATCATCGTGGGTTTGGGGGCTGCAGCGTTAGACATGGTGCATGGTGGTGGGATATGGGATGGAGCAGGTGCGGCAGGGAGTATCTGTGGAGTGGGAGGTGGTATTGGGTCGCCGCTTGCTGCAAACTCTTCAAAGTTGTTTTCGTCGTAGAGGTCTTCTACAGTTACTGGGGGATCATGTTGTGTGGTGGGCAGTAGCGTAGTACTGTAGCCAACGTGTTCTGGCTTCATAGAAAATGTCTGCTTGTTCTCTGGTGTGGAGTCGGGTTACATCTGGTTGGGGAAAGGGAGGTGTTGCTGCTATCCTTTCTTGTCAAGATGACGTCGGTGGGGTTGCTGTTTGTGGGTTGTCTGAGCTTCCTCTTGCTCTTTGGGATCTGGTTGTTGGTCGTTGCGACATTTTGTCGACTTTTTCTTCCCAAACCTAAATAGGTGGGACTTCTGGTTAGAATACGATTCTTTTGTTACGCACAAAGTGCTTAACAAAGTCTGAGGGTTTGTCGAGGTTTGTAAAGAGACTTATCCAAAGACAAGTTCGAGAACATAGTTCTGAGTGGAGTTCTTCCAACGAGAGTTGGTCTTCTTCTGAGTAGAAGTCTGATCTTAGGAGTCTAGCTTTGTAAGCGTAAACTGCGTAGAATCATATTAGAGAATACTACTGCTGTTACATGGTATTTATAATGGAAAGGAATTGGTGATAGGAGTTAGGTCCTATCTAGGGCAGGTCCATCTGTTGAGGACTAAGTACTATAATAGGTACTGCGAATGCGAGAGGAACAGAAGTGTACGTGAAGGAAATGAGTCATCGGTCCGATGGTATAACCAATGAGTAAAAAGAAATGAGTAGTTTTTAAATGTCTAATAGAGATCATAACACCTAGGGTCAGACAGACACAAATGAGCATGGAAAAGGGTAAGTAAGGGGCTTAGTAATAAGCTGGTAGATGGAATCCTCGAGTTTGGAGAACATTCCTTAATGATGTGGTGCTGTATGACTTAGAAAGCAGTTGGATTTGCTACCAAGATTGATGGTAGGATGGATGGGGACCTTTACCTTTAAATTTTCAAGGATAAGCTCCAGAAAACCCAAGAGTATTATAGTCTCAATCCTTCTAAAAGTATCTTTCAGCAGGATAATGACCCCAAGCATACCTGCTGGAAGGTCAAGGACTGGCTAGAGGAACAAGCATCCAACACTATAGTTTGCCTGCACAGTCTCCTGACCTAAATTCTACTGGACATCTCAAGAGGAGGCTTGCAGGGTATGAAAACCCCCCCAATATGATTCATGAATTTGTAAGGACCATTTATATTTTCTTATTTTCTTATCTTTTTGTCCCATGTCTTGGCTTTCAGACACTTTCCCTGTTACACCTTTGCTCTAGGGCTAGAGGTATCTTTTGCTATCTTGCTTCTCATAGCCCTCACAGGCTTTCTTAACCATTGTTACCACTTCATATTGCAGATCAGAGACTGGGTAGTACTCCTAGCCAGCCAGCACAATGGGTAAGGACTGGTAGTAGAGATCTTGCCAACCAGCTCCAAGCCCCATCAGTGCCTGGAGATATTAATAAACACTTTAGTCAGGATTGTACCTCATTATGAGAATACGGTTCCTGAACATGCGTGACAATACTTATTATTAGTACATTCTCTCACCAGCTGATTGATCCTTGAAGTCATACAATAGTTCTTCTTTTTTTTATTGGTTGATTTTCTCTTCAGACCACTTTTCTATTATTCCTTTTTCGGCCTGAGAGATAGACAGTTAGCTATAAAAACCCTACATACTCATGTATAGTTCTTTATCTTTCTATTACTTGAATAAACTGCTTCACTCCTCATCAGAAACCTTTAAGTTTATCATCAGTCCTCTACCTGCTATAATCTCTAGCACCTATTGACCTCAAAAAAAACTCATCATACCTTTTACTCCCTGCAAGTGCAGACAGAGATGGGTATTGTTTTTGTTATAGTTTAATGTTGCCTCACAGAATTGTGGGAAAGGGTTTAAGTGGAGTAGGAGAAGATACCAGTTAAGGAGTGTCAGAAATTAATTGAAAGTATGCCTAGAAAGATTCAGGCAGTGTTTAGGGCAAAAGAAGGCTATACCAAGTACTGATAATAACCAAATACCCTTTTCAATTCAAAAGTGAAAAAACCCTTTCCATGGTGTTGCTGTTTTAAATCAACCAAATCACATGACCTATGGGGCAATTTTACAGCCAAGAGTATGTACTATTTATGACTCCACCAAAGCTAAGTGCAATTCTCAAGCTATTTGATGGTATGCTTCATGCATGACACCCAGAGTTAACATGGAAAGGGTTTTTGAGGTCACTGTATGAGCTGAAAACATAAAGGGATTTTATGGGGATGATTTCATTATTAATTACTGCCAATGACCTACAGAAATAAATAGATAGTTTTCAAAATACAATTCCTTGTTGGAGTGGATTCCATACTTAGTGTTTGTGATACAAACATATTTGAACTACATATGGTCTCTTTTTCTCTCTTATAGTATAGCCACTTACTATTTATCATATGCCCTCAGTTGTTCTGGGAATGCCAGAATAGGAGCCATTGTAAATGATTCCTTAAACTTATCAAAAGCTTTTTGTTCTTTGCTCTGGCACGCAACTACAACAAGCAGAGAGGGTGCGGGAAGGAGTGGATAAACTCCCTGATGGTAGAATCAAGTTAGTTGTGGGTAAACAACAGGAGGATTCACTGAGGAGCCTCCTTGATCTATTGAGGTTTCATACTAATTTAGGTTTGTTTGTACATATGTACTATACAGTTGATAAAGGTGGTGGCTGATGATATCATAGGGCACAGCCCTTGTGACCAGCCCCACTATGTGAGAGAGTTGTAACTAATAGTACAAGGAAGCTGTACAGCACAAGAAAGTGAAAGTCCAAGTGGAGTTTGAAATAAAAGGAAAGTGCCACATGGCACAAGTGTCTAAAATAAAAAGAAGAAAGAAAGTTAAGTAGGAGACTGAGTTTAAGGTATATCTAGAATAAAACTCACAAACAGCATCACGAGGATTGTCCAGACGGGTTTCTGGTTTCTAAGCCCTTATCTCCATAGCCCTTCCAGAGGACTAGGAACTCTAATTTTCTGCACTTCAAGTGTGCATCCACAACTTATTTGACTTTGAACTCTTTTTCACTTTCCAGGGTGACTACAACTGGTTTGGGCTGGTCTACATGCTGTCCAGGCCAGCCCATATAGTTATGATTGTCCATCTTAGATAGGAAATTATTACCTGGTAATATTAATATATAGACAGGGCCAGCAGAGTCCGGTGGAGTGTACCAGCCAGGCCATGTTAGATGTGATATTATTGTGCCCATCCTCAATGACCCAGCTGAGTGAGAGGCTGCCCGTCCTACACAACCCAGCTGGGTCAGTACATTACAGGCTGTCAGAACTGTGACCTTCAGAAATTAGAGGACAGAGGACGGTGTCATGCACCAAAGTTGATTGGTAGCATGGACAGGTGTCAATAACGAAGCGAATATTCAAAAAGACTCGCCTTTGTGCCACACAGGCACAGTGCCACGTGGAATAGTAATTAATATTGCCTTTTTCGAACTTGTGGCTAATCAGCACCACCTCTATTAGGCAATCCAGTCACGCTCACCTTTGCTTTCCATTCGGTACTTTCCGCATTTCGGCATTTTGGCAAATTTTTGCGTCGCCACTGGCTACACATTGCATTGCACCCTTGTTTTTGTCGTTTCCTTCACTTCCCTTCCTTTGCCTAGCCCCACCATGGGTCCCTTACTCCCGTTTTTATTCTCACCCGACGGTCGTATCTGGATCCCCATTTTAGTTCACCTCCTCGTCACCTCCACCCTCCTCCTCCTCATCTTCTTTGCTCCCCCACCATTTCTGATGTCACCACTTCTTATCCGCTTCCGTCGCCGATCCGTCGACTACCACGTGCCACTGCTGATATTAGCAAAGCCCCGGCGGCCAGTTCAAATAGGGAAACAGGTCCATCTTTATGACGTTGATCTACCATCATATACTATCAAAACATCGGTCGCTCGTCTTGCCTGGTTGGAGCGTGGGTGGGTAGTTTTTGAGCTGGAGAAGGTTCATCCCCTTGCATCGCCCATGTTCATCGCTGTCCCATTCA